ACAGGCAGCCATGTAATAGAACATGTACTAGGGATGGAGCGACGAAATCGGTTAATGTGCAGGTGCTGGGGTGGATTGTTACATCGCTGGATCGTGAGCGATGACAACAGTGGGGAGACCTTCGTCCAGCAGTGGATTGATCATAGCTGCTGTTGCCGCTGATGATGATATTGACGAAGGGGTGGCCGCTCTGTATAACAATGTGTGCGGACTCATTCGGCACATCTGTTAAAAATATGACAACTGGCCTTTGCCAACAGTTTCACAACTGGCAGCTTACATCGTTTTCGCAGTTATTCACCTTTAATGTACAAGCAGCGGTGTAACGTACCTGCCTCGGTGATTCAGCGAATTATTGCAACTCAGGCCTACGATTCAATTCACGCGTAACTATTTCTCGACGTTTTTTATCTTCCCGTTTGTTGTTTTCTTCTTCTTGATGTCCCCACGCAGTTAGCGTTCGCTGTAAACCTCCAACCATGGCGTTGACGCCGCGTCGAGACTTTGCGAGTCCCCCCCCCGGCGATCTCCAACATCTCGGCTTGGATCCTCTTCGAATGTTTCCCGCCACAAGCTCTGCGAGGTCACTCGCACTTAAAAAAAATATATCGTAATCGGACGTACGTCGGGAAAACGTCGACGCAACCAGTTCAAACCGCAGTCTTTATAATTATTTGATAATTAATGTATGTTAACTTTTATGGACGCCCTATGGCTTTGAGCGCTGTTCAAGGCAATGCGTATTTGGATAGAGGACGCGGTCGGTCATAGGCGTCGGAACGAAGGAAGAAGGGCTTCAGCCTGGATTTGGATGGAGGAATGCTGTATATATTTTCCCATCGCATGCGGTACTAATGATGGACGAGGTGAGTGAGTTTTGCGTCGTTCACGCGCGTCGAGGCCAACGTCCCCATCATGATTTAAGTGTGCTCGACGAATGGCAGCTGAGCACGGATGGGTGAGTTTCATGGACCACAAGCTTAGGAAATGTCTCAAACTAATGTGTGCATTGAGTGAAGCTGCACGGTTTGGATGGGGGCTCTCTTTTTCCTATGACAGCTGGTAACCCTGCAGCATTTGTTTCAGAAGCTTGACTGCTGATGAGACCTGGAAATTCAAAACCGGGCGAAAGCTTGCTTGCTTATACATGCCGCTTGATAATATTGGTCTGGGAAGTGGATACGTCAGTCAGTGGACTAAAACATGTTTTTCTTCTTCATAGGTGGAGACAGAATAGAGTGATGGTTAGATAATGTTGTTTATCAAATTGTAGCGCGTTATTACTGAGGCGCACACACACAATTTATTGGAGCCAAGGAGGCAACACGTTTAATAAACAATCTCACTGCTCACTGAGTCCTATCGTTAAGTGTGGCTATGCTGTCCTAGACTATTCGCTATGTGTGTATGAGTTAGCGAAGCGAACAGGCCAGCCAACATCTACGTTGCCTGACCCTCGATCCTCAGCTAAACTCCACGGCGAACGGCGAGCGAAGCGCGAAGAGCGACGACCCCTTGAGTCGATCCCCAAAGCGAGCCTCGAATCCCCTCGGCACTCCCCCTTTATCCCTTGGCCGCCGCCTCGCCCCGCCCTTGGCCACGCCCCCTGCCGTATCAAGCCCGGAGCTCCCCGCTCCCGGTCATGTGTCCTTCAACCCTCCAATGGAGGCTCCCGGCGCTCAGCGCCCCTCCAGCTCTGTGGCTGGCGCAACACACAAAGAGACCTCTAATTGTGTCTCTACACAATGACGAGAGGCCTTTATCGAGACCGGAGTGGGGTACATGCCTCTCGACCGAGTCACGTAACTTGGGCTACTTGCCCCCAAATGTAAAGCCGAGAAGTAGAGAACGGGTCTCAGGTCTTCCTTCACAATCAGATTCTTAAAACATCGGCAAGCTGTGTTCGGGAAACGTTTCTCCACCGTTCACCACACATAAATCAGACTCTAAAAAAAATCCCCATGAAATATAGACGGCATGCCGGGTAACTGTCTGGTCATCCTCACCTCGGAATAAAAATAAAAGCAAGCTGTTTTGTCTCTTAGCTACAGCTGTGTCTGGAGGAAAGATGCACGTGACGTTGGCAGCGAGAGGTGCAGCAATGCATCGATTCGTCCGATCGATATCCGTTGCTGAGCTCGTGGAAGCGTGCATGGGATTTGCACGATTCCATACGCAAGAACTTGTTTCCTTTTTGTAGAAATGTGTACCTGCTGCGTTTCGTTCCGACAACGCGCCCCGCTTTTTTGACAACGTCCACAGCGATGCAGTCTGCATCCGGAGGAGCTCTCCCCGTTTTCATTACGTGAAGGGCAGAGAGTTTACTTCTTCCAAGGGCGACGCCTGGATCTTCCTCCGAATCATCTCAGAAACGGGGTTTGGTTCCTGCGGTATATCACTTGGTTTCTATGTCTTTAAATATTACATTTGCATCGTGTTTTATGAACCTAATTTACAAATATATATTCTTAGCTCTTTCGGTAAAGTCACGTTGAAGGGAAACAATAAAATAATCAAATATATATAAAACAATAAAACGTGACTTTACCGAAAGAGCTAAGAATATGAATTACTGCAGTCACGAAAGCTTTAAATCAAAATGTAATTTACAAATGTTTACCCATTCTCTGTTCACATGGAGATTAATAGGAATAGGTAATTACATTTTGAGGGCAACTCAACCACAATAGCAAGTCATGTTTAAGAAAGGTGTATTGGTCTACCATTGACCACGTACGAACTATAAATCGGATTCTTCATAAACCGAACATATATACAGTTACCTGTATCCTTCGGCTGTGTTTGACTTGTGAAAAAAAGGCATTTGACTGAAAAGGTATTTTAAATTAGTTGCATTGGTCACTTGCCATGTACATGAGCACGCTGTTCAGAGCGACTTTGTGGAGGCTGGGGGTGGTAAGTAGGGGGGGGGGGGGCAGAACGCATTCAGAATGATAATCAGAATATTTATCTATACTGGAGGAATCCGATGAGCTATAAAGCTCTTTTTCACAGATGTCCAGTAGGGGCGGGTAAGAACGTCACAACCATAAACAGTACAAAAACATGAATAGTCGTGCAAAGTACAAGGTCAAGATATCACTTAAACACAAACGAATCTCACGACGCTTCGATTGCAACACAAGCAATCATCATCAGGTGTGAAAACCACAGCAGGAAAATTTTGAAAAAAGTGTCGGTTTTCACACCTGATGATGATTGCTTGTGTTGCAATCGAAACGTCGTGAGAATTGTATTGTTTTATTTTTATTATTTTATTATTTCCCTTCTACGTGACTTTACCGAAAGAACCAAGAATATGAATCCCTGCAGTCACGAAAGCTTTAAATCGAAACATCCCCATCCTACCAAACGAAGCCCATTGAGGCATTAACTTAGTTTTCAGAAGCGACTTTGCCACAAATGATAGCTCAACAAAGTGGCCCATCATGTTTAGCCGCGGCATCACTGCTTCCTCCCACCCACCCCCCCCCCCCATAAAGTTAACATGTTACAATACTCTTTGGACAAAGAAAACACACGACTTCAGTTTTTTGTTAAACAATAAAACTATCAATAGCAACTTGAACAACAACTAAAACGTCACTGGCAGATGTTGCAGAGAAATGGTGTGTGCGTGTGCGTGCGCGCGTATATATGCAGTAGCTGCGTGCTGCAAATGTGTTGTCCGGGCGTGTTTATTTTTTAGAAAGCGTTTGCAGTGTGAATGGCAGCGTCTGAAGGAAGGAGACTTTTAAACTCTCGAGAGAAAGACAAATGGCAACCGTCTTCAAGTGGTTTTAATTAGAATCCAAACAGTCATCTCGTGCCGTCTTCTTCCCTACTATGGTTTGCTGAGCTTCATTGACATGGCAAGACACGATCACTCACTCAATCGTCCCCAGTTGGTCACTTGTCTTCCCCCCCCCCCCATTCCCGTTCAGTCGAATTGTGCTATCGGCATCGTGTTGCGAGACGAAAAATCCATTTGGAATTATTGCAGAGGGGCGCGCTCCGTATTGTCTGAGAACTGCTGCGGAAGACATTTTCCACAGAACGACTCCAGAAAAAATATAATCTCTCAAGCGGCCTTTAAAAAATATATTTTACACAGTAGAGGTAGTACGCACCCATACACGCTGCTTTGATATTGTCTCTTGAGTTGGAATGTCAAATTAAAGGGCAAAAGCAAACGTATTGATTGTTTTTTTTTGTGGTTTGGCTTGGACCATCAGCTCTTGAGAACCCCGGTTTATAATCACAGCGAGGATGTAACACAACACTCGAACCCTAATTTAATGTGATACTTTGACAACCTAGGATAGGAGAGCCTCTAGAGCAAACGGTTCTTAACCTTTACTGCAGCCTTCCAGCCCGTTGGTTCTCCATCGTAAACAAAAATTTTTAAAAAATGTTAACACATATGTTTTGATAAACAAATAGTAGTTGTACTAACGCGCTCGTGCTTAATTTGAGTTTTCGATTATTTACCTTCTACAATAAAACAAAATCTGGCATGTCTCGCACCCCCCCCCCCACACAGAAAGGGCATCTCGCACCACTAGGAGGTAAGTGTACCCCAGGTTAAGAACCACTGCTCTAGGACCTCAGCGTTGCGCGCTCTCAAATCTCTCACTCTTTCCTAATTGTCCGAGGACCCTTTGACTTTCGAACTGACTCCCAAGGAGTTATTCTCTGAACCTCAGCAACCCTGCGGGTGCCACAGTGTGGTGTGGCTCGCTAAGCCTTAGGCATTTCCTCCTTGAGCAGTCGTAACACACAGCGAGCTTTTTAAGCGCACTCACCACTGAGACTTTCGAGCCTTACGTCATTTCATTTTTTTTCTTCAAGGAGGGGAGGCAGATGGATCTGGGGAATGGGTGGGAGGGTGTGGAAAGCGGGGGGAGGGGGGGTGTCTGTGTTTGGAGGAGAGTCGAGGGAGTCACAGAGAAGAGGGTGGGTGGGAGGGAACGAAGGGTGGCCGTGTGTGTTGGGTGGGGGGTAGAGAGCGAGAGAGAGTGAGTTTGGAAACACTCAGCATCCCATAAATTTGACCTATTCATAAGACGTCTTTGGAAAGAGCGAGAGGAGAGAGATCCCTTCTGAACGGCCTAGACGCCACTAGCCCCGAGACCCAGCGCCTATCTCCTCACTCTGACTTCCACGCTCCACCCCGGGTAAGGAGGATGCGATGCCTGGCATTTTGCAATGTGAGTTAACAGTGGGTGTGTGCACGGAGATTCCCCGGCCTCGGTTGCCTCGAGGTGAGATAGCATCACCCCGAAGATGGGCAGTGGTAGGTGGTCGGTGGACATTAATGTTGCCCTAAGCGTGTGTGAATTATTGTTTTTTTTTTATTATAAGACGCACTTTGCCCATCCACCCTTCTACTCTGTTTTTTTTGTTAAAATTACATTTGGGGGTGCGACTTATAATCCGGCATGAACTCGCGTGAGTGACTTATTTTTTTGTATAACTGTGGACACAAGCCGCTAGTTACTTTGGGGTGCGTCTTTCGGATAATCCGATAAGAGCACGGAGCGCCGTCCCTATAACAATGGGGGGGACGTGAAGACGTCAGTCACTATTGATCAGCCATTTCTCCTGGACAGATAAATGGGGGTTTGTGTATTTTTTTTAACCTGGTTGTTACGGGCCGACTGGGTGATAAAAACTGAGTGTAGGTTTATGGGTCTTCTTAAAATATACATGTGCAGTACTGTATACGTTAGAGTATTCGATATAATAGTTCAATAATCCCCTCCAGCCGGGGGGGGGGTTCTCTAATAGAGACCCCCTTCTGCCAGCAGTGGCATTGAGTTAGCAATTGCAGGGCTGCGCCTTCATCTATTTTTTATCTAGTGTTATTAATGTTGCATTTCTACGCAGCATGCCTACGCTAGGTACGTGTTAAGGTGGTGCTGTTGAAATGGATGCGAAGAGATTAACTTGAAAGTTTATACGTTTTATGCGGTCAAGAGGCTTAAGTATATCGAATTCACAAAGCTTATACAGCTGCATCTCTTTTTTTCCCTTTCTCCCCACATCAGCATAGCATATAGATTACATCAGCTGAGTGCCTAGCGCTAACATGTGGGCGTGTTTACATAGCATAGTCTGTAGAGCTTCGTGTAAGCAAGCTGTTTGGTCACATAGAGTTTCTCCGAATGGTGTCATGTTAAACAGAAAAAACAGGTCGGTGATTTCGTGAGCAAATGAGAGTCTAGGCAAGTGCTCCCCTCCTGTTCAGAGACGGCCTGAGCCAGTGGGTGGAAATTCCACATTCCTAGGACGACCGATTATATTATTAATCCCCCTCCCCACAAGGTGGTGCTCATTTTATCGACCCCCCCCCCCCCACCTTGCACAGATTTGCCCGGTCCGCAACCAGGATTTGAACTTGCGCATCGCAATAGCGCTGAGCCACCTGGCCGGTTGATGTCACGGAAGGGCTTGAGCGAATTTAGTGACGGTGCAGAAAGGGCTGCTGCCCGCTCGCTGTGTTGGCACCGGCGTCGCGCTCAAAGGCAGAAGAAGAATTACCGTGCGCGTGTGAGTGAGCGTGTGCACACGCGTGTGTGTGTGAGTGAGTGTGTACACACGTGTGTGAGTGAGTGTGTGCACACGCGTGTGTGAGTGTGTACACACACGCGTGTGTGTGAGTGTGTACACACGCGTGTGTGAGTGTGTACACACGCGTGTGTGAGTGTACACACACGTGTGTGAGTGAGTGTGTGCACACGAGTGTGTGTGTGAGTGAGTGTGTACAGACGCGCGTGTGTGTGAGTGGGGAGCGCGCTGCGCTATGAACCCGGCGACCCGAGTTCGATTCCCGCTCACGGCCAACATCGGTGACGATTATCTGAACCGGTCCTGGGCCTTAAATGAGCACCTAGTGCGGTGTGTAGTAAACATCGCCACCGGGGAGACAAAGGCGGCCGGGCGTGGTGTTGGCCACCCACCCCCTCGTGTCCCGTTCCGGCCTCCATAGGTGCTCACTAACAGCACTTGCCCCAACAGTCTGTTAAGGCTATTACGGGGGATCTTTGTCTATGTTTGGCATGCGGATTACATAGATTTAACACGGCTAAGTCTGACCCCTACCCTGTGAGTGAAATAAATCGACGTTCCCCGCTGATCATTCTTAGGGGGGCACAAGTTTGAGGGCGGGTAAAAAAACCAAGGAGGTTTTCTAATGTTTATAATTGTGAGCCCCAATTGTACGTTTTTTGTGCCAAATGTCAGCTTCATAGCCCTTCCGTGGAACGTCGTTGTACGAATTAGATGCGTAAATACATATATAATTTTGCCACAATCAACACCATCAGCCATGGTCAATCAACTGCTGGATTCAGGGACTTCTTCCTAAGCGGGCTCTGTATCACACGATCCAGCGATGCATCATCATGCGCAACCCAGGTCCGAATGAGCAGAACTCACAGTCGTGCATTTGTATGAAAACAATACACGCCTGTCGGTGCTCATCATCACTTGTCATTTCCGAGACTCCACGGGAAATTCCACAGTACTATGACCGGCACTTATCTCTGCCGACGGTAGGACTGGATGCAGAATGTATGGAATGCACTTATGACAAGGCGCTTTTCAAAGAGAACTTATCACAGGTGTGCAATGATTTGTTTTAACAAGGTTGCAAAGCTTTGGTTGTGCAACATTATCGAGGGTCAGAGCAATGGGGTCGTAGGTGAGAGGGTGAGCGCTTCTTGAAGTGTGCTGGGGTGTAATGTAATGCATGAGGTTGTAAATACAGAAGCGTTCCAAGCCTTGCTGTGCAGTGTAAACGCTCATGCCAAGAATATCTTAACCACATCCTTTAAAATAAGATTAAGTTGAAAAAAAAAACCCACTGTGGTAGTCGGACTTTAACTAAAATCATCCGCAATAGCGATGCATTTGATCTCATCAGCTCTGGAAAGCCAAGCAGAGTTTGAACCTGGATCGCGCTTTGCTTGGATGGGTGACCGCCACGCATCACAAAACGGGTTTTGGGTTAGACCAGGGGGTCGGCAACGGAAAACACAAGTTGAGCCATTTTTAGTTTGTTCCGAATTCAACATCTCACGAGCCGCAATGCACTGTGGTGAATACGAGACGGTGGTCCTTTTTTGAGACGCTTTATTTTAAGTCACTCTGTCTGTTGTTGTTGTCGTTATTGTTGTCGTTGTATCCTCAAATCTTGCAACTCAATTTTAACCCACTTCCCAATGTGGTATCGACTGCAAACTTGGTATACTTATGTCATTCTGATGACAATACTATATTCCATCATTAAAAATATATATATTTTTTAAACAATCTTTTTTATATGTCATGTTTCGGCTAGGGTCTAATTGTCAACGGTCAACTGACGTTGGCTGAAATTGACCACGGTTCATTACGTTGTAGCCAAGCTTCGGGGCCACTTCCTGGAGTCGTGGAGTTCTGCCATTACTAGTACATTTCATAAAAGCGTGTTTTAAAAAAAAGTTTTTTTTAATATATTACTTATGTTGTTTAACAAGTAACGCCGCACGAAACGGTCACTTAAAGAGAGCCACCGTGCGGGCTACGGAGGCGCAGGTTGCAAAACGGGCGAGTGGGACAATGCATCCGCCGTCCGCATGTGCTCTACGAGGTGTCACAAATAATAATAAAAAAAATTGTTTATTCACACACGCGAAGTGAGACAAAGCAGCCCACGCGCCGCGGCTGCGTACATCAAGTCAACAATATTAAGATTAAAATGGACTGTACAGTATTCCCTCGTTTATTCATGAACTTGCTATCCGCGAATTGTGTCCGTAACTCTTCACGACTGCATCGAGAGAGAAAGAAAAGATGAAGTGATGAGAGAGAGTGTATGATGCGAGAAAGTGGTGAGATGGAAGTGATGTTTTTTTTTAAATGATAATTCCCATGTACAGTATTTAATAGCTGACGTATTTATTTAAGGTCATTCATTAAAACGGTTCTCCGAGGCCAAGATCATTATCCGTGAAACTTGGCGAGACCCGCACGAGTGTGGCGAGACAATCTCATCCAGCAGTGGGGGGTCGACAAAACGGGCTGCAGACGATACTCCCAAGTCCATTGTTGCTCACGGGTCGGCAAGCCAGTCGTCTCGACGTCCCCACCGAAAGCACGGCTCGATTCAAGCTGTTATGACTGGTCCATGAGCACACAATCCCGCCGTCCTGTGGAGCTGCCATCGCAGGCTTTGCTCTCAGGTGGTCAGTGTAGAACACGGCAAGCTGCGGCGAATAGCGTTAAAAACAGGTGACGCGGCGAGGTCAATTGTGGGTATACTCACCGGGACTCTGCGGTGTTGCCATCGCCACCTGTGTGACTATACCCAAGAAAAGCCCTGCTGAACGGCGATAGCAAAATGCGCCTTTTTTGCTGCAGTGATTTATTAAAGGGATGCCAACGTCTCCTGGAGTTACGCAATAAGAGATAGTCGTTGTGTAGCTCTTTGTTGATCCACTGCTGGATGAAAGCCTCCCTTACCCCCCCCCCCGCACACCCACACCTTGTTGTCGGTCTTGCGGGTTGTTTGAATATACTTCGCCACGCAGGATAGTGTGGTTCGGTGAAGGGGGGCACCCTGGGCTGGCTCGGATACCACTCGCCACTGGTGTTAGCCATGGTGGGGAATTGAACTCAGGTCCACGCGAGCCACTGGGCTCCCAGCTTAAAACCCACAGCTATGCATCGTCGTGTGATAATGACAACGCCTATCCCAAATTTATCCAGGAAACCGTCACTTGAGTAACAAGGCTATTTGTTTGTTCACTTCAGGGCTTTGCAATGGGGATGCTGGGCCAATCTCATTAACGAGTAGTTTGGCTTGTCGTGGGATGAGTGGCCTGGAGAAAAAAAGACACGCGTACACATATATAGAACTATGAAGTTAATTGCTGTGCCGCCTTCTCTCTGGGCCATCTCTGACCCCAGGCCTACAACACCTCATATTCCCAGGCAGTCTCCCATGCAAATATTGACAAAGGGTCAACCCTAACCTCTGAGACTTGACAATAACAGGTATATTGGCTGTTGTACTAGAAACCTTTGGAGCGGTGGTGTAGCGGTTTGCGCGCTGCGCTACGAACCCGGCTACCCGAGTTCAATTCCTGCTGACGGCCAACACCGGTGACGATTATCCGAACCGGTCCTGGGCCGCCCCTAGGTTAACTCAGCCTAAAATGAGTACCTGGCACGGTGTCTAGTCGCCATCAAAGACACAAAAGGCGTGGTGCTGGCCACCCACCACCTCGTGCGCCGTACCGACCCTGGTAGGTGCTCGCGAACGGCGTTTGCCCCAACAGTCTGTTGAGGCTATACGGGGGATCGTTGTCTTTGCCGTATAGCTGTCCCCACGCTGTTCGGCGCGGTGTCCCACGTCGGTGCAAAGAAGCTCCCCATGGAAGGAAACCGTCGGACAATTTCCCCCCCCCGCCCCAACAGGCTGCGCGGCAACACCCTGACCCAAAATAAAAAAAAACCGTGCCGGTGAGCGCCGTGCGGCAGCGCAACCGCAAAAGCCCCCAGGGTTGTGCTGCGCCGCCAAGTGGCCTGATGGCCTTAATCTAAGTTGTCTTCTGGTTGTTGTTGTTGTTTGACTTGCATCCCACTGGGATTTTTGCACACAGCGTTGGTTCACGGTGTTTTTTCAGGAATATTTTGCTGTTTTTTTTCCTGGATTTTCTGTTTGCACAGTCGCATAGTCACTTTAAGATGTTTTTATTGTTCGTGTTTTTGTTTTATTGTTTGTTTGCGGTTGCACCTGATTCAAGAGCAGAATGGCTCACAGGGCTATACCAAATAAATGAAACTATGAACGTTTGCTGAGCGAGCGAGGTAAGTGGGTCCACCAGGCAGGCGGTGGGTGAGAAGACGGCTGATCATTCGGGACAAGTAGGGTGAGAATGAGTGATGCTTAGAGCTTCAGGCTGCCTGCCAAGGCGTGCGGCTCAGAGAGCGAGACTGAGGCACCTCCGGGATTTGCACGGTTTCATGGTCATGTCTTTTGCTCGGAAAGCCAGAATAAGGTACCGTTATTATTTTTAGGGAATGTTGCCAGTGCTTGAAGCTCAAAGAGTCACGATTATGACTGCCCGAGCAACTTAGATTCTTAAAAAAATACATTGTAAAGCAACCATATGGACCTTCGCTCAATGAAATAGACGGGCCATTTATTTACTCTGGTATTATGTAGCTAAAAACGAAATCTAGCAAAAAAAATTGGTTCCAGGCTGATTATCCCATAGAGAGAGAGCAAGAGAGGGGCCCTTTGGCCAAATCACTCCAAATGCACCCTGATCTCGTCACATCTTGTCAGAAACTAAATTGAGGGGTTGAGCCTGGATGGTTCTTGGGTGGGGCAAGCAGCGTGCCTGTACGCCACTCAAGCAGACGTCTGCATTTGTTTTAACCGACGCGTAAAAGATGATGGTGGGCACATCGCTGCTAGAAAAAAAAAGTCCCACATTTTCAGCACCAACGTTTTGTTGATGTAAATATGCGTAATTTTAGTTGACGAGGGTAGATTACGCATATTTCGAGTGTAGCCTTTTGGCAACGGGTTCAGAGCCAAAGAATATAAAAAAGCGCTGCTTTTGTGTTGTTTGTTTACTGCTTTTGTCAATCTACGAATGGTTGAAGAACTCCACTTGCTCGCTGTGTCAATAATGGGGATTGTTTGACCATACTTCACCACACTAGTCAGTGTCGGTTGGTGAGGGAGAAGTCCAGGGCTAGTTTAAAATATCACTCAAAACTAATGTTGGCGTGAGCTGGAGTTTAATTCTGGTCGCTGTTTTTTTATAGCGTAGTGGGTTGACATTGTCTCTGCTCCGCCTGGTTACTCAATAGTGCAGTAAAAATATTTTCCTTACACTACTATTACTCACTTATGGTGGTAGCTGTGGCCAGGAATTAAATTCAGGTCTCTAGGTTAATAGAGCAGTGTACTAAGCACTGTCCCACCACTCCTCCCTAGCTGTACATGTACACTTTCAGCCCTTGTGTCTATGTACTGCTGGATGACGTTCATAGTCTCCTTGCTGGAGCCGTACACACACATATATAAAGTTTAATATATTATGTGCTCATCACTGTGTGTGTGTGTGCAGAGAGGAAGGAGGCATGGGCTCCCAATCTCTCTGGGCCACGTGTATCCGTACCACGTTCGCTCTCCTCATCGTCTCCCTCTACCTCCCAGCACCATCTGCAGCACAAGGTGCCTCCGTCACAAACTACGACTTTCGTAGACGCGTCGTGGATGCAACCAGCACGCAGTCGGAGAATGTTGAGTTATCTACATCATTAGACCTCCTTTGCCAGTACCAAAATGTAATAATAGGGTTTTTGAGCTGTAAGCCTTTTGGCGTCATCTGGTCGAGCACCAATTGGGTCGTGGCTCAAAAGAAAGTCGTCCCTTGGTGTGGACCAATCAGCTTCAAGGACAATGCATATATTATCACAGTATGTTTTTTGTTTGCATTTTGACTGCAGGTATTGTGGTTAATGCAGACATGAATCCTTGTAATAAGGTTTCAGTTTTGTTGCCAGAAAAAAAGGGGGAAAACCCTATTATTATAAATGTTGAGTTAATCGTTCAAGTCGTCCGTTTCCGCTCCGCGCGTCGGAAGGAAAGGGGAGTAGAAACTGCCCCCCCCCCACACACACTGTGGACAATGATGACATTTACGTCTGGAGCCATTGCTCGTTCCATCAAGACCGGTCCTCCATGAGACGGAACGGCGCTCTGGCCGGCGTTAGCTCTCCCACCGTGGAAATAACGCAAATGCGTTCTCCACCTGAAGCGCTGACGACAGGAAGAGAAAATCAGGTTGACCTATCAATCCCGGTGTCGATGATGCGCAGGGGCTTAAGATCCGCCCGCTCGGCCGCAAATGGAAGCACGGCAGATGTTAGCGCTTGGAACTGACATGCGCACAGGATGTTGTGCGCGCGCACGCACGCGCGTATGTGTGTGCGTGAGCGCGCCAGGGACGGAATGCTGTGAAGGAGATCACAAAGCCTGTTGTGCTGTGCCAAAAGTGGAGCAGCTTTTGTGATGTTACTTTTTGAGCCAATTTGGTCCACGTCTGTTTTTGACTTTTTGCCACGTGTGATGTGACGGGCATTATAACGACAACAATGGTGACCTAAATTGCATCCACGTGATATGCATTCTTTGAGTTTGCACCTTCGCCACACATCTGTGTCTTTGTGTCCATTCTATTTTTGCGCTTGTGCTTCTGTGCGTCCTCTTGGCTCCACATCCCAATGTCTGCACAAAAAAAGACGAAAGATCCCCCCCCCGTATAAGCCTATAACAGACTGTTGGGGCAAGTGCTGTTAGCGAGCACCTACGAAGGCTGCCATGGCCCACGAGGGGGTGGGTGGCCAGCACCACGCACGGTCACCTTTGTCGTCCCAGTGGCAAAGTTTTCACACTGCACTAGGTACTCATTTAAGGCCGAGTCAACCTAAGGGTGACCCAGGACCAGTTCTGATAATCGTCGCTGGTGTTGGCCATGAGCGGGAATTGAACGCGTGTCGCCAGGTTCGTAGCGCAGCACGCTCACTGCTGCACGACCACTCTGCACATACATACACACACGTCTACTCACACACATGTCTACACACACCCACGTCTACACACACACACACGCGTCCTCGCATGGGCCCACAGCCACTTGCACACACGCCCCATGTGCTTCCACATCACGGGTGGGGGAAACTATGGCCCCGTGGCCACACGAGGTCCTCGTGCTTTGAAACGCCCCTCAAGCGACATCTATAGCCGTCGCTGCAAGCAGCTTAATCACTCTGATCGTGTACTCGAGGTAGAATACTCTCTCAACCTGGCAACACTGGTGCATTACTTTCATTGCACTTCTGTAGCTTGAAGCGTATTTTGCAGCGATGCAAGTGAATGCGCTGTGCTACACAACGCGTCGTCGCCTACCATAGGATTCTAGAAGACCTCTTTGGCCCCCAGTAAGGAAACAGCTTCCTCACCCCCCTTCCCCTCTGCTTTTCTGCATCGGTGACTCCGCACGAGCATCGGCGCGCTCGGGCATGTGTGTCTCCCCCGCACTCACGTGCGTGTGTGCGCATGCAGTGATGGCTCCCAGTGACCTGCAGTTCAAGATGCTGCCCGAGAGCACGGACCTGCACGTGACGTGGACCCCGTCCAAGAGCCGCATCCTGGGATACAGGATCAGCATCCTGCAGACGGACCCGCCCTCCGGTAACCGGCCTCTTTCCTTATCTCGTCATGAAACTGGTGACCTTTCGTTGGCCCGCGGCGGGCGTAGGACTTATTGGCACTGAGCGTTGATCTCGTTTGCTGGAGAGACGGCGGATCAAAGGGATACGAGTCGCCTCTTCCCACCCGGTTGTGGAATGCTAAATGTTTGGAGCCTGGGCCACTCTCTTGTAAGCTCACGGTGGTATATTAAAATGTATAAATAACGAGAAACCCCAGCGAAACAGATTTCATTAGTTCAGGCCGGAAAAAAACAGATGTACTCTATGTAGCAATACGCAGAGGTGTGGTTTTGCATGTTGTTTTGCGTCATGCATCGGGCTTTTGTAAACGCAATGCACATCTTCCATTGTTGTTACTTACATGGGTGGTTTATGCTGACGGGAGTTCGAGTTGGGTTGAATTGTAAACCCAATCCTGACATGTTCTCTTAAGAGTTCTCCACTGTGATTTCGGATTGTACCGCGTGCCGAACAGCACGTGACCATTTCCTGGCCATCTGGTGGCCCAAGCCTATCACACCTGGTATTTACAGGCACTCTCCCATCCTAGTAATAATAAAGGATTAATCCTGATTTGTTTCTGGGGTCTCATAAGATAGCTGCGCTTTAAGGATGTTCCCCCTTTCCCGTTCCGATGACGTTTTTAGGACGAAATTAAAAAGTAAACCGGAATAAAAAGTAAAAAAATTAACTTTGTCGGTATCGAGGCTCCCACAAGGCCACGCGGGAGGGTGTGTGGCACAGTTTGGTGCCATGCTATCATAGAGTGCGGTCCTGACGCTACAATTCTCTGCAGTGAGTACAGTGTTCTTTAAAGGTTACAGCGCTATGTCTCTCTGAATAAACTTAATGCTGAGCCGCTTCAACGGTGAACGGGACACCCCACCCTGCAACTTGCAGACGTCTCGGAATGGGGTTAAACGATCGTGGGTGACTTTGCCACTGCCAGTTGCTTTTGAACGTCAGACATTCCACAGGTTCTCACGGTTGCGCTGGACTTTCGGGTGTTACTGTGTCCTCTCTGGTTTGCCATTAGAATCGGTTAAATCTTCGATTCTCTATTTTAAAACGTGTGAAGTGCGACATTTGAGACTGCTCTGGTTGATGCAGCGGTAAGTGTGCTTGCGCTAAGAACCTACAAAACATGGGTTTGATTCCTGGCCATGGCTAGCATCGGTATCAAGTGATATTTAACTATTTATTAACTCTTTAACAATTTTTATTTTATCAGGGAAGGCCTGTTGAGATATATTATAGCTCTTTTTCAGATACGATCTGGCCACAAATGATAGCTCAACGGTGTGGTTCATCACGTGTAAATTTAGAGCAGCCAAATACTCTAAACGCATGCTGATTCTAAATGTGGAGGGAAAGCCGGAGGACCTGGAGAAACATCCTTGCGACCGTGGGGAGAGACACATTTAAACTCTCAATATACAGCAGACGTCAGGGTCAGGATCGAACCCACAACCTCTTGCATACCAGGCGAGGTAGTTAACATCTCGCCATGGTGGGCCAACCTCCCTTCACCATCCCACAATGGCCGCCGTGGAGAAGTATGGTCAACCAATTTTCCATGACCTACATAGGCGTGGGCGTGGCCTTGATGGAGCAGTGGATTGATGAAGGGGGGGGATAGGAGTTAAACAAAGAGTTAAATCATTTCTAATTGGAACGTGGGGAATTTCTAAAACATCGAAACTGCGAGCCAGAACTTTGAGCTGAAAGAATAGTGCAGAGGGGTCCAAAAACTAATGACAGCTGGACCAGCCAAGACGAGTGGGGGTTAGGGGGGGGGGGGCGCACGCAGGAGGAAATGGAACGGTATGCTGAAAGGGCATATGTAAGAGAAATCAATTGGAGCTGCCCAAGCAGGGCGGATTGAGAACCAACCTGGCTGCGCCCGAGGAAAGGATTGAAAGGATTGCTCGACGCGCGTCGTCGATACGTGGAGGCATTATTTTGCGGAAACCCTGCCAGCGTTTCAAACAAAATGAATGGGAGCGAGTTCCCTCCTCCTCAAACACGGAGGGAGAGTATTCCTGACCATTATATAAGTTTGCATTGTGAAACGTGTTCAGTTACGTAATTATGTTGCCCAGAGAAACTGCAGTCGCTCCGACCGTTTAGTGGAGAAGGGGCAATGAGTCACAAACTGCTCCACCAGTAATTTTCTTTAAGCACGAGCATTCATTTACCAAGAGCTCACAACAACAACAACAATAATAATGAATGCCACAAAACCACAGATTTTTTTATGCCGATATGTATCATCGGCACTTTGCTTGTGGAGATGTTAATGAAGGTAATATTGATCATGTCGATAATACCATTTGGCGAATATGCTGAAGATGTCGCTGTTGATATTGATGTTGTTTGTGATGTTAACGGTCGTAGACATCATAACTGATGATAATGTCCTCTTCATCATCATCAACATGCTTCTGTTGATTCATAGAAAGTAAATTTCTTTGTTCACCATTCCATTGATCACCTGAGAACCGAGAGTACGAGTGTAGAGATTAGATCACTACCAACGATATTCACCTGACGTGGTGGACACCACGTGGCACGGATAAACAGGAAGGAAAAACAAACCCTCTGATTGGTACTTAACGGACCTGAAAGGGGATTGGTTAGAGGCAGGGAAATTGAAGGAATTGGAGGTAGAAATACAACAATGGCGGGAAATGGAGGACGATTAACATGTTAGAGAAAGTGGAAGGTGATTGGCTGGAGGGAAAGTGGGTCAAGGAACCTTCACGAAAGGGGCTTGTGGGATATATAAGGGGGAAACGCGAGAGCACAAGACGTTTCGAGTTAAGGGAATCCTTGAAGACTGTGACTCGTGCTGGAAGAAAGAAAGACTACAGTGTTGGGTGTCACTACACAGGGATGGGCAACACACCAATAATCAGCACAAACAAATCCACTTAGTGAAAAGTGAGGTTTTTTTTAGAGGTTGTGATGTGACCTGGAAGAGTGGGAACAAAACCTTTCGTGGAAAGAACTAAGTTCCTTGTGGGCAACTACCTCCTCATGTGGCAAAGCTATAAATATTAGGTGAATACCAGAAATTGTGCGGCAGTTCACTACTTGGACGAGGCAAAGATAGAAGAGGGGGAGATTGGGATTGCAGGCCATTCATCACCCATCATTTGTAACGGACGGGTGAGAGTCGCTGAAACTAGTTATTTGATATTAATATATTTCGCGATGGCATTTCATGATGGGGTGCCACGGTAGTGAGACGTTAACTACCTCGCCTGGTATACAGGAGGCGGTGGGTTCAATCCTAACCTTGACGGCTGTATCTTTGGAGTTTGCATGTTCTCCCCTTGGTTGCATGGATATTTATTCAGGTCCTCTGTTGTTTCCCTACACATTTAGAAACATGCGTTTAGAGTATTTGGCTGCTTTAAGTTTCAATATTATAAGCCACTTCATTGGGCTATCAATTGTGGCCAGGTCGCTTCTAAAAATAGCTATATAGCTCAGTGGACTTTACCTCTGTAAAATAAATGTAGTTTATAGGTAGAGTCGTTGATGATGGAGACAATCCTGGCGTGTTAACGATGATGACTACAATGATGATGGGGCTGTTGACGGCGATGATGTGTGTCCCAGATGCGCCCCCCCGTGACGTGGAGCTGCCCCGAGGTGCTCGGAGCACGAAGCTGAGCGGTCTGAAGCCAGGGTCAACGTATCGTCTCACGATGGTTGCCTACAACAAGAAGGAGCAGAGCGCGCCCATCATCGGCGAGCTCACAAGTAAGCTTCCAGCGAGGGGCGATTTAAAGCTGCCGAACGTTATTGCGAGGCTCAACCAGGACGCATGGTGGAACTGGAAGCCCCTCCTCATCGTCAGCCCCACCGACTCTTACATAGCCACGCCCACTGCGTCACAAGCACCACCGCACACAGTGAGTGGCTTCCCTGACGTTGGCCCCACCTACTGCTCATAAGCCCTGCCTACTCTTCTGCCAGCCCTGCCCACTAATCAGGTACCCCTCCCTTTGTCCATCGCAAGAGTTCAGCATGAGCCTTGATAATCTTTCGATTGGGACAAAATCCCGATTTTTGTAAATACTTAACGACACCAAGACAGCGTTTCTGATACTAGGACTGCCCCAGCCAAAGCAGGACGTTTGGTAGCTTCAGGGGAAGGCTTCATCCCTGTCTGGCGGTGTGCGTGTGTCCACAGTTTCGTCAGTGGAGCAGAAACCCATTTCGGCCCCGCAGAGGTCAAGCTCCAGCAGGGTGAAGCCCGGCCGTGCAGAGGTCACGGAGTCAAGAACCGGGACCCTCATGCAAGGTGTGAGCAGCGCTCCTCGAAGTGGGTTCATTAAGGAGCCAGAGTGCGTCGTAAAAATTATCGCACATCAGAGTGTTTTATCTCGCTTAATATGCGCATTATAGAGTACACAATGTATTTAATATATTGTTATACATGACGGTATTTTGTTGCATTTAATATGCATTTTATATGATGTAAACTATTACATTTAATGTTCACATTATGCACTGTAAATATTGGTAACCACATTCCATACACATTGTGTCCTACATAACTGTATTTTATCGTATTTAATGTACATAATATACTACAAAACAGTATTGCAATGCATTTTATATACATTATATATTATGTACCCTAGAGGGCCTGTCTAGAACTCCCTCCAGTGGAGGCTATTTTGTGCCAGGAGTGGTGTGAGCAAGCAATGTCGTTGCTGCACCTTTCCCCTCTTTTGTAAATGACATAACTTAATCTCCTGCATTTAAAATGCACATTAAATAAATAACCCGCCCTTTATATCAGTGCCATCACCTCGCACGCACATTGTAGAGATGTTAACTACCTCGCCTGGTATACAGGAGGTCGTGGGTTAGAGCCTGACCTGACGCCTGTATATTTGGAGTTTGCATCTCTCTTCCCGTGGTCGTGTGGATTTTTCTCCGGGTCTTCCGGATTTTACATCCACATGTAGAATCAACGTGCGTTTAAAGTATTTGGCAGCCCTAAATTTCCACGCGATAAGCCACTTTGTTGAGCTATCATTTGTGGCCAGGTCGCTTTTAAAAAATAGCTATATAGCTCAGTGGGGGCCTTACCTGGTAAATATCAATCTTTAAATTCGTTTTCAGTATTGTTCATGCGAGCGTGGTCATGCCGTTTTTTATTACCGGTATGGCGTATACTGCCCCACTTAAACCACTTGGTTGTGACATGTGCGAATTGTTGGCACAAGTAAAATCACCGGCTCGAATATTGAAAGAGATTGTAACTCTGGAATGATCGGCCCAGCCAGGGAACGGAATTTCTTTTTTTAACATTGACCCAATTAAAAACACTGGCACATTTCTTCCTCGGTTACAAATGAACCTTTTGGCGGGATCCTGGGGTCCCATAAGCCCCCGGCTCTCGCATAAACTGCGTTGCGACGTCATTTTATGTCTGTTGAAGGTGAACGATATGGTAATCTATTCCTCTCGATGAGCTCTACACGATGCGCTAATCAAAGTTTCAAAGTTTTGTTTATGACTACGGCAATTTTGGCAACGACGGGCGCTTGGGGAAAAACGAGGAGAGGATTGACGTCTGGTGGGTCGGGGCGTTTATGTGCGTGGTGGGACGGAGTCGCCAAAATTGCATTAATTAATTTAATTACGATTTTTGACTTCCGTTTATTCGGGACCCCGGGGTCCTGCCATAAGGTTGAAATGTCAAACCTGTCCTCTGCTAATGCAACGCATGAACGAACTAAGAAGGCTACAAGCATGCAGGCGTGGGATCGACAGCGTGTGCACCCAGCGGCCCCAGTTTGATGCTGGGCCAAGGATAACAATATCGGTGGTGAGCGATATGTGAACCAGTCCTCGTCTATGTCCCCTAACCTTTACCAAACCACACTGACATTACATCGGTGGGGGTGGGTGGGGGGGGGGAGGGGTCTTCATCCAGCAGTGGCTTAAGAGATGGCTGCAAATAGCAGAAAATTATTATTATTCCCACAAAAATTGCCTAATTTCTACGTCTCATAAGTTCTGGTTGCGACAACACAATCCACGTCTTCTGCGCTTCCCCCCCACCCCCCCCCCAACTTACGTTAACGACAAACAGAACTAGGAACCACGTCGGAATGTCTTCACTATTAATTGAGAGCGACATGACTTTCCTTTACCTCTGGGAGCCCGCAAATACAGTGCCCTCGTTCACTGGAAAGAACTAGTTGTCTGCGTCAGTCTATGTGCCCATGCCGTGTCCCCAGTGCTGCATTAAGCTAGTGCGATGCCTGTAGGAAATGTTTATAAAGGGGCCCTAAATGATATTTAAATATGGAAACACATTTTTTTTACTTGCATAGTAAAGTAATTGCGGTTTTTTTCATTTGCTATACAGCCAGATAATACGACAAATCGCTAACCTTAAACACCCAGTCGTTTATAAAAGTTGAAGGCGGTATAGTGCTACAGTAATAGAGCAAGTGCAGAATCACTGAACCGGAATTGATAGCTTGAAAGCATTTAGCGCGGGGCCCTTGAAAGTGCGGGTGCCCGTAGCATCATGTAGCTACTTTTGCTACTAGGATAATCCGGCACTGCGTATACCCCCGAAAACGCTCGAGAATAAGTAGGCCAGTTTGCAGCTGCTGCTGCTGCCATTTCCCATGTGTCGGCTGAGTCAGTTTCAAGCCGCAATAAGCGTGCGTACGCACGCACGCACACAACAAATGATTTGTTGTTGATATAGTTCCCACCTATTCGCCGTGGTGTCTCTGCGCACTTGTGCATCACGTGTCGGAACATTTGAAAGGGCAACCCCAGTGGCGGCTGTCCCTGTGCCGACACAAAGGGCGTACCATAGTACCTCAGCATAATGTCCGTGATGCAGTCACTTTTAGTCTGTTGATGGTCGGCGATGCGCCAATCGACTCATCTCGACGGGCTGCACTCACGATGCACCGCTACGGTGCGTACCGCGAGCGTTCAGGGTTTCAGCGCAAATCGTCCTCGCTGCGTTTCGACATCGCGGAGTTAAGTTACACCCCTGGAACAAATAGTGTCCCAGAAATAAAATATTTCATTGCCTGGGGTACGGCCATGAGGATCAATTGTCCATTTGTGAAAATTCAGAACCTGGCGCCTGCACACAACGCCCATGGCAAAGCAGACGGGCGCGTCGCTCTTTTTTGGTCACCGCACCCACAGCGACAATCGCGGATGAATGTGAGAAAGGAGCAAGGCGGCAGTGTGAGTTCCACCCCACGCAGACGTCAACCCCCGCATCGGGAGTGCTTGCAGATCGCGGCGCGTGCGCGTGTTGTTCGTGTTTGCAGCGAGCCGCGCCGCTATCGAGGGTGCAGGTGGCGCAACTGCACCAGGACCCATAAGCCGGGGGGGGGTCCAGGTTGGGGGGGAGGTTCAGGTGCCACTCTATAAACGGGGGGGGGGGGTAATGTCCAGGATTCCCCATTGCGTGCCTTGCCGCCCAAGCCCCCATACGGGCCATGTTAGGACAATAATGAAATGCACGTACGCGACTGCATGGTGTGTTGAGTGTAATGCAATACAATTGGTGGTCATTGCAATCGAAATGCAACATATCCAGATGCGAAATTGTGGGGCATTTGCATCACGGAGGAGTGACGTCAGCCACTATTTATTATGAATGGGGGGGGGGGGGTGTCCATTTGGAGGACGTCACCTTATAATGATTATTAATGAGAGGGGGCTGTTCGATGTGGAGTGACGTCACCTGCTCATGATTCTTAATGAGGGGGGAGGGTGCTCCATGTGGAGTGACGTCACCTGTTCATGATTATTAATGAGGGGGGCTGCGTTGCACACAGACATTCTTGGTTCATTATAGTAGCTAATAATAATTGTAGGGGTGTCCATTTGGAGGACATCACCTGCTCATGATGATTAATTAGGGGGGCTGGTCGATGTGGAGTGACGTCAAGAGCATTAAGGACAGACATTCCTGGGTGATTATTATAGTAGGTATACCTCGCACACTAATTTTAAACCTTTAAAACAGTCTGCCTCAGCAGCTGTTCCCCTCTTTGTTCTGCTGATGACGAACGCTTGTGTTGCGATCGAAACGTCGTAGTTTTTTGTTATTTTCTTTGAACCTATCTACGTGACTTTACCGAAAGACCCAAAGAATATACCTCGCACTGCCCACACATTTGTGTGGGATACACGGGTGGGTTGGATGGGGTGTGGGGTTGGTGGGGTGGGGGTGGGGGAGTGGGGTGGGTGGGGTGTGGAGGAGTGACGTCACCGCGACACACGAACCTGGCTCAACGCTGCGGGGTGCGGGTGACGTCATCGCGCAGATGCGCGAGGTGGTGACATCACTTGCGTGCCCGTGCGACGGCCAACCAGCCAGCAAAACTTTTTAAACAATAATCGAGTACGATAGACAAGAGGCAGTCGTGGGCAGAGGAGAATAATTGAGGGCTCGAACCTGCATGTGAACATGGGAAGGGATGACGAGGGGGGAACGAGTTTCAAATGGACATCATAGGAGGAGTGATCTTCCACTGAGGGTGGGTTGAACTAGGGGTTCTGACAAAAAGGCTTTGGGTTGTTGGAGAGCACGCGATGGGGAGTCGGGTGAGATGAGATGTAGGCGGCGGTGAGTCGCGAGGAGAGGATCTATGAGAGGGCGAGTGCAATCTTGCCATTGACCTGTTGGCACTGTATTGGGAGCCATTGGAGGGATGGGGCCTTTCGGTTGATGTGGTCTCGTTTACGAGTGGATTCTGGCAGTTCCATTTTACTTCATCTGGAGCGTGAAGATGAGGGATTTGAGGTGACTAAAACTAAAAAAATTTTGTTTATTTTGCCAGGTAAGGCCCACTGAGCTATATTGCTATTTTTTTCAGAAGCGACCTAATTGACAAATGATGGCTCAATGAAGTGGCTTATCACGTGGAAATCTATATCAGCCAAATACTTGAACAAGCACGTTTCTAAATGTGGGAGGGGGAAAAACCAGAGGACCTGGAGAAAAATCCACGCAACCACGGGGAGAGAGAGGCACGGAAACTCTAAATATACAGCAGGCGTCACGGCCCGGATCAAACTGGGACCTCCTGCATACCAGGCGAGGTAGTTAACATTGAGAGTTCCAGTAGCCGCGTTGGCGTGTGATGAAGATACAAGCGGAGGAGGCTCTTCAGCAGCAGCAGCAGCAGTTAGGATACGGACATTTCGGGTGCGGGATATGGTGAGCAGACGGTGGGAGGCACGAGATCCTGCATAGTTTGAGATACGTGGGAAGAGAATAACAACTCGGAATCTATGACGACTCTTTAAGATTGCTCGCTCTCGTTGCCAGCGTGAGGTCAGGGTTTGGGAAACGCACGCTCATACTGAAGAAGCCTTTAGTGATCGTGGACTGTCTGCCGATGAAGAGAACTTCCGTTTTGGCAGTGGAATAACGCTCGCCCAGGGCATCAGTTGAAAGGACAACTAAATTAAGCTGATTGTTCTGGTAGCACATAGGCAGCGCTTGTGTGTGGAGTAGACAATGCTTGCATGGAATGGAAAGGCTGTCTAGGTTGCTTTTTTTTTTAAATATGTGTGTATATATGTGGAGGGGATGTCCGAGGCATCCTCGCACATTCGCACCACACAGGCACGCAATCAACATATCACACACCAACCACACGCACGGGAATGCACGAGACGATGGGTCAAGGGTTAAGGGCCACTGACGTCACACGGACTCGGCGCGCGAGACAAGAGATGTGGATTGGGAAGGGGGGCGGAGATGGAGGGGTTTAATAGGGGCTGTGAAACGCGTGTTCGGGGTTGGTTTTGAGGAACGAGTGTGGCTGTGGTTTGAAAAATAAAGAAGTGCTTTAACCAGTCTCAGACTCCTCTTCATAGGTATAAAACGAAAATGAAGTTAGCATTTATTTTTGAAAAGAGTAAAAGTAATGTTCCTGAAATAAATCTTTCCCATTCGAACGGATCGCGGTGGATTAACGTCCCAGACGTGGGCTCGCGTCCAAGTTTCCAAAAATATATGTAAAGGTGGGGGTGGGGAGGGGAATCAAATTGGGTCAATTTTCATGTTGCTTTACAATAACGGCCCTTTTACAGGAAAGCAAAACATGTCCATGTGGCTTGCACGTGTGTGGCACATGTCTCGCGAGCGAAATGAAAACGATTTAACTTCCACGCTCATTCAGCCGAGACCCTTGCCTCGTGCAGGCCACGTCGGACTCGCCATCGGTGCCGGATTAAGCTAGTGCGGGGCCTGTAGCATATGTTAATAAAAAAAAACGTTAAAACACTATATTTTTTTCACTTGCATAGCAAAGTAATTGTATTTTTTTTACTTGCAATACAGCCAGATAAAACTACAAATCGCTAAACATTAAACACCCAGTGGTTCGTAAAAGTTGAAGGCGGTATAGGACTATAGTAATAGAGCAAGTGCAGAATCACTGAACCGGAATCGATAGCTTGAAAGCGTTTAGCACGGGGCCCTTGAAAGTGCGGGACCCGGAGCATATGTAGCTACTTGTGCTGCTACGATAATCCGGTACTGCTTAACCCCCTCGCCCCCCATGTGCGCTCGCTCGCGTTAACCGCTCCGTCTGCAAACGCTCTTAGGCGCTAAACACTTCGGTTTTTTTTGCGAGCTCGTCAACAAGTTGTGGACCATATTGCGGGGGGCGTGGGGGGGCTCGAATTCGACACTGGAAACAATTTCCCCAGGTGCAGAGCAGCACGGTTTGTTTGGCAAGGGGAGCGGCTTTGGACCTCCGAGGTACCGTCGTCGTCCGTAGCTTTCAAATCATTGCCAGTATTGTGCGCTCCGCCTGCCCGTCAGAGGATAATACTGACTATGATGCAGATAGGTAGAGAGATTTGAAGCTTTCGTGACTGCAGGAACCCATACCCTTAGGTTCTTTCGGTAAAGGCACGTAGGTATAAAATAAAAAATATAAATCACGACGTTTCGGGCGCAACACACACGGACGCTTGTGTTGCGCCCGAAACGTCGTGATTTTTATTTATTTATTTTATACCTACCTGACTTTACCGAAAGAACAACAGAGTAAATTTTGTTTTAAAGCTTTCGTGACTGCAGTAATTCATATTCTTAGTTTTTTCGGTAAAGTCACGTTGAAGAGAAACAACAAAATAATAAAATATATCTAAAAAATACAAAAATTCTCACGACGTTTCGACCATAACTCAAACGGTCGTCTTCAGGTGTGAGGAATGAGTTATGGTCGAAACGTCGTGAGAATTTTTTTTATTGTTTTATATATTTTATTATTTTGTTGTTTCTCTTCAACGTGACTTTACCGAAAAAACTAAGAATATGAACAACAGAGTAGGTATAGAGAGTTAACGCGCGATTACGTTGCATGTGGATTATCCGGCTTGCGGATTAACCGTGCTTGTAGAGTTATTGAGAAAAAATGTAAAGTGGGGATAATTCCACGCTCATTGGTGCATTGACACGCGCTACTTCGAGTGTTAAACCCCTCCTCACTCGTGACTCGGTGACCGCACACTTTAAGAAAAAAACTAAAACAGGCGGCGCATTCTATGTCTCCATGTCCATTCTGCGTTGCTAAAACAATAAACACGTTTTCAGAGTCCAATTTTCATGTTTCGCGTTAACCATATTTTTGTTGTATCCAAGTCGCCCATCCCCCCCCCCCATTACCCTGGATAATCAAGAGTTGGCTGTAATGACAGACAATCGGTGGTTAAGTATCTCTATTGTTTGTGTTTTGACCAATGAGCAAGTTTGCATGGAGTCATTGAATCAATCTCCATGGCAGCCTGGTGAGTTTTGGGGCAATTTCAAATATGTCACCCGCTAGAAAGCAGACTCTGAAGACACTGTGTGACTTTATTCATACGAGTAGGTCACAGCGTGGCTTGGAAACTCTTTTGAACTTAAAGGCTTAATCGGAAATTGATATTTCAGTAGCTGTTACGTCTTATACATTTTTTGTTCATGACCGCCACATTTTAGCTATGGTGCGGTGGGTGGCCCACTGCGCTACGAACTTGATACTTGAGTTAGCTTCCAGACCATGGATTATACCAGTGCCAAGCGGTATCGTGAAAACCACAGCAACAAAAAATTGAAAAAAAGTGGCGGTGGTTTTCACACCTGATGATGATTGCTTGTGTCGCAATCGAAACGTCGTGTGAATTTTATTGTTTAATTTTATTTATTTTATTATTTCCCTTCCACGTGACCTTACCGAAAGAACCAAGAATATGAATCCCTGCAGTCACGAAAGCTTTAAATCGACATTTACATCTCCCGTGTTTGTTCCTGCATGTTTGTACCTATTTATAAAGGTATCTAAGTGTTGGTGTGTGTATCTGTGTGTGGTTGTATATCGTGTTTATTTGTGTGTGTGTGTGGTTCAATCGATTCGTGGTCACCTGTATAAACATTTGAGGATTTCAGATGTGTCGAACTCAGCTGATTATGGTAATCACATTCATAGGGATGATGTTGATACTGGCTACTTTTTACAGAGTGAAGGATGAGTGCAGTGTTAATGATGTTGATTTCAGCGTTGATGGTGATCTTGTGATGGTTTTGATGACGTTCGTAGTGATGTATTTGATGATAGACAACTTTACAGGACGGTCGATGTCAATCGATATTGGAGACTAATATTGCTCTAATATTGACGTCGGTGTTGATGGACACGTGATGACCGTGATGGTGACGGCAATGACAATAGTGTTGGTGGTGGTGACGATGTTTCTGGCGATTATGTTGATGGTGCAGGCTGTTCCCCGGATCTGGTGGTCGATCTGGTCTTCATCGTGGATGGCTCCTGGAGCATTGGCAACCCGAACTTCCAGCGAATCCGAACTTTCCTGCGAGCGTTTGCCACCGCCCTGCCTGTGAGGACTCCACCCAGCACCCACTACGCAATCTGCCTCAGCACGCTTGATCTCACTTGGAGTTAACTGGCGGCGTGAAATTCATCTTCTCACCATTCTAATGCAATGTACTACACAGGACTTCATCGATCTGTTGCTGGATTAAGGCCACGCCTCGGTTTTGATAGGATGCAAAGACTGCTGACAGAATGGCAACTCAGAGAAAGAGCCCAAGAGGTGGACCACGGAGGGGATGGAGTGATCGGATCGGTTCATGTGCAGGATGGAGACTGATTGTAGCAAGGCAGGTCTAATAATGGATGGTGTGAGGAGACCTATATCCATGTCTAACGATGATAATGATGATAATAGCAGGTCACCCAGAAGTAGTGTCCTGGAAATCCCCGATTCACCCTATTTACCTGATCCTTTGCGCGGATAAGAGAAGTCACGCGGAAGTGAGGGAAAAGTAGCCCGATTATCCGCACTTGAGAACATGTTTAATAGGATCCTCCACAAGCGCCCCCCCCCTGCCCCCACATCACCAGAGGAATTTCACTCTGGTCTGATTGGCTCGATGTGTTGCTGCCTCTGCTCGTCGCACATCACAGCTTAAGCGGCTGATATCAGAATCAGATGTATTTATATTGGAGAAATCCAATGAGCCATGAAGCTCTTTTTCACAGACGTCCAGTAGGGGTGGGTAAGAACAAAAAACACGATAGTAGTGCAAAGTACAAGAAAGATAAACAAATCACCCAAACACAAACAAAATAAAACACTAAACCATCCCCATCCTACCAGGCAAAGCCCACTGAGGTCGAAATTTATTTTTCAGAAACGACCTGGCCACAAATGATAGCTCAACAAAGTGCCCCATCCTTTGGACATTTATAGGTCGTGAGCACTCGTCACCCACATGCTTAGGCAAACATTGGGCATGGCTCGTCACTGTTAACGGTCTAGAACCAGTGGTGACGGTTCCACATTCTTAAGGCGGGGACGAGAATGTCTAATAAACTGCTGCTGTCGATTTTGCACAGAGCGGCATTTCTCGTTACTTACATTGCAGAGTAATGGTGGGATGACTCGGCACCCGCTTCAAACGCAGATTAACCATGATGGATTTGTTATCTGTGTACCCAAGGAGAAATGTATCTTATCTGCATCTGCAAAATTCCATTATCCGCAATACTCCCCCCCCCCCCCGAGGCCCTCTCCACCAACACAATGTCAGTTAAAGCCGCTCTACGGCATGTTGGAGTGGTTTTGCGTTGACCTTAATACATCTATTAATGTGGTTGAGGGTGACACGTTAAATAATTATCGTCCATTAGCTCCTCGACTTAGCAGGAAAGCCACTGGATTGTGGTCCAGTGGCAGCTCCAAGGCAGGTCTGAAGAGAGAGAGATCATTCGAGTCGGTTTATCTGAGCAGCCCCCTAACATCGGGGGGTGGTTGGGGAGGGGGGGGCAGGGGAGAGGGGCGGGGCTTGGAGGAGACTCAGCCCCCCCCCCTTCACTTGCTCAAAGCTAAGCCGCCCTCCCCTTTTAAAATGTATAAATGTGTAGGTACAAACATTTTTGGTAAAATTGAGAGATGGGCATCGCAGATATTTTGTGTTTGTGCGCATGTGTTTTTTAATGACCGTTGCTGAGCAAAGGCTCAAAGGCCCAAAACGCCGAGGGGCCAGCAACAAACAGCGCTGTTCAAGTTGTAACGTAAATAAGAGTGTAACGCTATTCTTGAATTCACCAAAGGTTTAAAAAAAACCTGTGGTCGTGAATTCCAAAGTCGAGCAACATGAGGGAAACACAGTTCGGATGGAGCGGAACAGTCAGTGTCTGGTAGATCGAGACCTCAACGTGGGACGAGGATCCAATGGGTGAAGTTCCCGGGAACAGTGACCCTTGGTAGTCGTGAGATACATACACACGTAGGTAGTAGTGAGATACATACACTCAGGGAGTAGTGAGATACATACACACAGGGAGTAGTGATATACATACACATATAGGGAGACAGTGGGGCGAGAGAGCCAAAGCAGAATGCAGGAGAGGCAAGGCAGATCTTATCGTTACACAATCTGCTTAGCGTTGAACATCTGTTTAAAGTTTGTTTGACATTGAGTGTGTCATGCCCCCCCCCCTTGGGTTTCCGTGTGCCCCCCCCCCCCCCCCCCCCCACTTTAAACAAGGTCATGCTGTAGCTACAGCGCTGTCTCAGAGCAGGTCACTGAGGACGTGGTAGACGCTGCTCTCCGAGTTTGCCCTTTCTGCATTGTAGAATTCATGATGAAGTGTTTAAATGACACATTGTGACAGTCCGATGTTACATTTTTCATGAGTATGACGTCGATTCTTTATTGGAGGAATTCATGAAAAATTCAAAGCTTTTTTTGCGCATGTACCGGGGGGGGACTTGGGACTTGTGTCACCGATGATCGCGTCACTGAACGCAGGTCATTGTAGTGCGACTCGTGTCTTATTTATATATTGCTTTGTTAAATATTTTACTTGAAAATTTTCGCTAATGGTATTCTTAAAGTGCTATTTTAGCGACAATCGAATCAGTTTGTAAATGTCACATAGCACTGTGATTCTCTGTTTTTGAAATAATAATTAGCGTCAATGTGAATTAGTAAATAACTCAATCGGGATTATACACACAGCAACCATCGCCCCCCTACCGACGAGGCTAATGCTCTGGGGTCACTCTTGGAAATGTGTGCTGGTCTCTTGAGTTCTCGCCTGATTAAATGAAAAAAACTTGAAAGTTAGACTTGTTTTGGAGAATTAAGATAGCAAAATAGATCAGCAGACGATATGTCAATGTCTCCATATGCCCGTCTTGCCGCTCTCTCACTCCCAGAAGGACATGGGGCCCGATGGGTTGTGTAACAAACACCTTTGTGGTTCTGGAAATGGCCACGCACGATATATTTTTCTTCACCTATTTACCCTTTACACAATAGGGAGCGCACTTTCCCACATACTCTGCTGTGATATTGGTATTTTGTGTCATGACAGTACATTTTGATTTCCAGAGCCGTAATTTTTGCTCAATTAAGTGAAACCCCACATTTTATTCAAGGGCCTTTTGTGTGCAGTCATTGGTGACTGGGATGAGACCATCAGCTCACTTCACTTGAGCACCTGGTTTAATTCACAGGTGGCGAAAACCAGGATTCGAAACTAGGAGCTCACTTGAACTCTGCCTCAATGCTCTGACTTGTATGCCATTTGCACCGTACGTAGCCAACCGTGCTAATCAGAGCCAACCGGCGACCTCATCATCATCATCATGATCCTCAGCCAGATGAAGCCACTGCTGAATGAAGCCCTCATCGTCTCTCGTAGTCCTGCGGTACAACAATCCACCCAGTGCGTGCAATCAAGCTGCGTTCATTGCTCCATCTCCAATGTGGACATGCTCTTGGGCGTGTTCCCTCCTGTGATTGCAGCTGTTTTTAGTCACGACCGCTGGCTGGCCGTCTTCTCTATTGGCAATATGTCTGGCCCAAGCCCACTTGTTTTCAAAATAGTCAATATGATATCTCTAACTTGGTGTTATTTTTTTAATATATATGATCCACATGTTCCTCTTTCTATTGCGCAATGTAATCGCAAGCATGGCCACGTCATGTGATAATTTTTGACGTGCATTTTCCCAGGTTGTCTCTGGAAGTGATGCTGTATTATACGTCTAGGAAAAAAATATAAATGTTTATTGTTACATTTGCAGTTGTCCCATCTGTGGCGAACTTAACATTTTGTTATACTGCGTTGGCACAAAAAAGGCAAAAACTACCATAAAGAAGGGCCATTTCCCAAAATGTTATGTATTTATATGTATATTCCTTTCAGGGCAGTGTTGTTAACGAATATGTAGAGTCTGTATTATTTAAGGTGTTTAAACAACGCAATGCAGAAACGTGGGCCAAGCGCAGAATGTGTCCTCCGTCATCATGGGACCTCCTTTGCCAGGACCAAAATATGAGAATTGGTTTTCCCCTTTTTTCTGGCAACAAAACAGCTGTGTTAAGATGGTAAAACACCAAACTGAAACCTCTTACAATGAATCATATCTGCATTAACCACAATACTTGTGGTCAGAATGCAAATAAAAAACACACTCTGATCATATATGATGCATTGTCTTTGAAACTTACTGGTCCACACCAGAGACAGCTTTCTTTCGAGCCTAGTCCGTCTTTTTGCCAGAAAAAAAAGGGGAAAACCTATTCTCACGTTTCCTCCGTCGCGATGGAGTTTCATCGTCATTTACTGATCCGAAATATCTACCGTATAACAGCCGAATTCACCGCAGAAATACGAGGCCCCTGCTGTGCTCTGAATTTTGTCACTCACTCTCTCTCTCTCTCCCCCCGCTCGCACAGGTGGGCCTAGACAAGGTCCGCATTGGGCTGATTCAGTACGGCACGGACGCGCGGGAGGAGTTCCCGCTCAAGCGCTACAAGAACAGTGCGCAGGTGGCCCGGGCCCTCACCGGGATGCCCTACAAAGGGGGTAACACCATGACAGGTAAGGGAAGCGGCGGCATAACCCTCCACGTTCACCATGGCAGCCCTCGATAGGCCGATAAATAAGCTCAGCCGGAGGGCTCGTGCAACAAACTAGCAGTGCCCTCTGTTTCTCTCTCTCTTCCTCTCTCCTGCTAGTGAAAACTCTCATCAAAAGAGGAAGTGCATGCGGTCCAAGACTAAATATAAATGAACACTTGCCAAGATGTTACCACATTTGGCCGCCGGGCATTATGGGAGAAAGCCACAGCACCCCAAATGCCCTCGCTTGATGTGTTTGCGCATAGTTGTCTGATTCTTAGTTACCCAGCCTTAAACAGCTTAACATGTGGCTTTTTTTCCATGCACTATCACAACTTGATCTGTGTGATGGTATGTTTTCTTTCCGCCAGCGCAGATTTTTTTTGGCTTCACTTCGATGGTGGGTGTCAGTGAGCGGAAACAATATTGTCTTTCAGGTTGAGCGGGGATATCCCCTATAGCTCTATATTTCAGATATCCGCTAGCCCCTTGGATGTGAAGGGGTATCGTAAAGTTCTGCCCACAGTGTAGGCAAAATGAAATCTGTACAAAAAAAGAAATCAGTGTCGACGTGAACTTGCTTTGCGAACAGGCGATGCTCTGACCATGGCTCTGAAGTCGGGATTCTCGGAGAAGGCCGGCGCTCGGGACGGAGTCTCGCGAGTGGCCATACTGGTGACGGACGGGCGCTCCCAGGACTCGGTGCTGGATCCCGCGCTCGAGCTGAAGCAGGCTGGCGTGGAGCTCTTCGCTCTGGGTAGGTGTGGAGCACTAAGACAAGAGCCACCAAAGAGGCTACCGGCAAATGCCAGGCCAGCGGTATAGAGAGACCAGCATATGCCCCCTGGTGCAAGATTTAATTAGTGGGGTGGGGGGGGGGGCTCTGTTAAATATCTCCCTCCATTCCTGCTGTCAGGCGCCACAGTGATGAGATGTAAACTCCCTCGCCTAGTATACAGGAGGTCGTGGATTCGATCCCGACCCCGACGCTTGTATATTAGGAGTTTGCATGTTCTCTCTCCCCGTGGTAACATGGATTTTTCTCTTGGTCCTCCGGTTTTTCTTTCCACATTTAAAAAAAACACGCGTTTAGAGTATTTTACTGCGTTACATTTCCACGCGATAAGTCACTTCGTTGAGCCGTCATTTGTTACCAGGTTACTTCTGAAAAAGAGCTATGTAATTCAGTGGGGCTTATCTGTGGTGTGTCGGGCCCCAATGCAGTTGCACGGCCTCTTCACTCGATAGGTGTGCCACTGAGTGTGTGTATGTAGTGTGTGTGTACTATGGTGGGGAGTTGTAGTGTGGCGGTTAGTGCGCTGTGCTAATAAACCTGGCAACCTGAGTTCGATTCCAGCTCACGGCCAAAACACAGTGACCATTGCCTGAACTGGTCCAGGGCCTCTCCTACGTCGGCTCAGCCTCAATTTAGTACTCGGTGCAGTGTGTAAACATCGCCACTGGAGAGATAAAGGTGGTCCAGCATGTTGCTGGCCACCCAACCTTTCATTTACTGTGCTAGCCTTCAAAGGTGCTCACAAACAGCACTTGCCCCAAAAGTCTGTTAAAGCTGTATGGGAGATCTCTGTCTCTACAAAGTTGGCCTCCATTCCCCTCAAAAGTGGGTTTCTGCTCAAACTTTCTCATCTTTATCCAGTGGAAGTAACTCCACATTCCTCTGGCAGGGGCAAGTCTTCCTATACAATGACCAATGAGCACTGTCTCATGTAATGATACAGATAATACCATTTGATTCATGTTAAAGCACATTAACAACTCTGAGAATTCTGGAATTTTACGTCTGCACAGTCACCAATGACTGTTCTAAAGAAACCTACTCAATTTTATAAAATTGGACACATTCACTATGATTTTTAAAAGGAAAAAAATGTATTTTCGGCGACGTTTTGGGGAATGGCCCTTCTTAATGGTACATGAAGACAAGGAGGGACATTACCCGAAGCGTCACATATATATTTTTCCTTTTAAGGCCACAGTGTTATTGACGAATGTATTTCATTTTTGTTCATTGTGTCTGTGCACTACTGCCAATGGAGCAGCAAAGAATTTGTTATAAAATTGAATTTGGCATCGCTTCTTTGAGTACTTTTCAGTTTGTATTCATTGCGTTTTTATTTAATGTTTCCGATGCATGTGCCAGCACAGGTAATGTACACTCATTAGACACGTTCTTCTTCTACGAAGCATGTCGGTATTTTGCTATTATCATATACAATTTAATTAAAGCACTCCAATATGTTCTTGCTTTGCCCTAGTTATTACATAATTTAGATTGCGCCCGAGGTACACATTCGACCGCGCTTTCCAGTCGTGTCCCTTCCAACTATTATTTAATGTTTTATTCAGAAAACCTGTTGTACTGGCTCTTCTCATGCTCATATTTTCCTCGAGCCAAACTCTACAATCATTTATTTATTATTGTACGCTGAAGAAATCGCGCTGCAGTAAATCACCCAGTGTGGCATTGCACTTCACACTGTATTATCGTCGTCATCATCATGATCCGTGATCTATCCACTGCTGGATGAAGGCCTCCCCAGACTTGTCATCAGCATCCCTCAAATGTGGGAACAGAATAACAGGCAGTTTTTTAAGGCCAACCAACCACGTCAGCAAGCCGGATTTAGTCAACGACCGTCGACGCTGCAGTGGTGTCACGGTTCGCATGTTGCAATCGTCGGTTCGATACCTACCATCTCCCGAGGAGCGGCAGTTGCAACAGTGGTGCAAGTTTCTTTTTTTTTAAAACCCACACCCGCCCAACCCTCTCTATCCAAATCATTACTTAAGAGTTAGTCAATTGGCAGGTGGCGAGATGAGGCGCCGTGGTGATAAGATTGTATCTACCTCGGCTGGTATGGAGGAGGATGTGGGTTTGATCCCGACCCTGGCGCCTGTATATTTGTAGTTTGCATGTGTCTCTCCCCGTGGTCGGGTGGATTTTTCTTAAGATCCTGCGGTTCTTCTCTCAACGTTTAGAAACATGCATATATGGCTGCTATAAATGACCACATGGCAAGCCACTTCGTTGGGCTATCACTTTGTGGCCAGGTCACTTCTGAAAAAGGAGCGATAGCTCAGTGAGCCTTACCTGGTTAATAAAATGGTTTAGGTTAAAGGTCGCGTGTGTTGGGATAAAGTGTGGGTGCTCCCAACTGCCAGATGGCTGACCATCGTGCAAGAATAGGCCAAAATAAACTCTTAAATTAAAACTCAACCATTTTTATTTTACCAGAGTCGGGATCAAACTCACAATCTCCTGCATACCAGACGAGGGAGTTAACATCTCGCCATGGTGGGCCAACCTCCCTTCACCAACCCGCAATCGCCAGCGTCGTGAAGTATGGTCAACCAATTTCCCATAACCTACATGGGCGTGGGAATGGCCTTGATCGAGCAGTGGATCGATGAAAGATCCCTCTAGTTAGTGCAGACCGTTCCGCCAGCAGCGACCTGAGCAAGCGGTCACAGGGGGCTTCACCTTGACCTCTTGTATACTTTGCCGCATGCTGACGTATAACCCTCCACCCCCCTTCCCTCTCTCGCTCCACCATGGCGGGGGCCTTGCAGGCATTAAGGAAGCCGACGAGCAGGAGCTGAAGTCGGTGGTGTCGCCGCCGATCTCGCAGCACCTCGTCATGGCCACGGAGTTTGATGACATCGAGGGCGTGACGGACACTTTCGTGAGCGCCGTGTGCAACGCCGCCGCGCGGCAGATGTCCCTGCGCAGCACGCCTGACGGTGCGGGAGGCTGCACCCGCTGACTCGCTTTGTTGGAAACGATAATGTCGTCGCCTCCGTTGACATTGTCGAAATTGAAAACGAATCTCTTGTGATTGTGCTCAATCGACGCTTTCACTCTTTTTCCCTTCTCGCCATCCTTTACTGGAACAAACTTCCCCTCGACATTAAATAGTCACCCTCGCTCGCTAGTTTCCGCTCCTCACCCTAAACTCACTTATTTACCCTAGCTCACCTCACGACCCCTTAATCTCCCCCTCATAACTACCACCGTTACTGTTTCCCCTTCATATTCTCATTTTATGGCTATCATTAATTCCCCATTTATTCAATCCATTAATCATAATTTACTGTCATCAGTTTCGCTTTAATCCGAATTCTCACATCAAAGATTCGCCCCTTGTGTCTCATCTATTTTATTCATCTCGTCTCCATTACATTCATATGTTTCATTATTAATTATCTTTAAAGCACCTTTGTTAAGGCGCTACATGTTAAGATAAGAGCTGTTTTTTGTGTTTAGTTTGTTTTCCTTCCCCTGTGCCTTCGAGTACCATGGTTGGCTACATACAGTGCGAAAGAAGTTCATCGTACGTGCGGGTCTTAAAAATGTTGTCTGCTTTTCTCAAGCCTTAAAGCCAACATCAAATGTGTTCTTGCTCAAGGTAGCTTGACTCCGATTAGCATTGTTGGTTATGTATGGTGCGAAATAAATTCAACATTTATACATTCATACATTGCAGTGCAACATTATGTTGTGTCTGTACATGCGATACTGCCTTGGCGTTGGTGTATAAGCACAAATAATGAAAAGCCATTGCCCGAAACGTCGCTTATTATATGTATATTTTTTTTGCTGTTATGGATCGAGAGGGTCACAAAGAATTTAACATGGCAACCATAAAGTTAAGCCACTATAAACCACAACAGTAGGTAACACGAGGAAGAAAAAATAACGCGTATGCATGGATTATTTAACGCATTCCAACGTGCTTTTTTGTCCTTGGAAGTGTTTAATTAGCATGGAAGCTGACAGATAGCTGTCGGGCAAAAAAATATTTACATATTCGCAGAAAGTCCTCTTTACTCTGCTTTCTGTCTCCCAAGTTTTGGCTAATTGTTTATTCCATTTGACTGGGTTTCTGTGTGGTAAGTCCTTTACAGCAACACAACTTTGTGCTCAAGTTTAGTTTACATTGGATCATCGTAAGGAGAGTTATGAGCCTGTATTTCTGACCGAGGGACGGTCACAGAGCTAATGCATTAACGTTTCAAATCCTTTTAACCTCGGTTGGAAAGCGTTCAAGCTCGACTAAATAAAACGCGGCTCATCTCTGCCAAGTAAAATGCTTTTAAAAGTCTTTTCGAACAAAAGTGTCTCTGGGCAGAATATAATAGCGGACACTGAATCAGCAAATTGTACTGAGAATGGTGATGGTTTTCCAATGATGGGGGGGGCACAGAGCAAGAAATTATTTTGTCATTCTTGTGAGCAGGTTAAACCGAAGGAATCTTATTAGTCTTGTGTCTTGTGAACACAATCCAAGTCCACTATTGTAAAGAAAGGAATAAGTTGAACGTAATATTTTTTATATATATGTTATGCCAGATGGTTCTTGGGGTCAGAGCACGCAGCTCTGGACACTTTTGAGATCCTGAATTATAATTCAGGTTTCAGCCACTTGTGATTGAACCGGGTTGTCAAGTGTAGTGAGTTACTCAGTCTGATCCTAGTAACCAATTATTGCGCAAAAAAAACACATTAGATTTTCACCTAATTGTGGCTAATTTTCAGCTCTGTACATTTGATAGAAAAAAATGTAAATTGGTTTGACCGTCATGTGATGAAGACCTGTCTAACCAGGTGAGTGGGAAAGTCGAGCACCCCCAGTGAGAATAATAAGAGGTCATGTGAAGGGATCTCAGAAGCAGTTCTGTGGTACCACCTTCCACGGGCGGTTCTCCAACAGAGTTTGGTGCTTTGCTCTGTGAGTTTCGAATGAATGTTTCTTCACCTCTTGACATGACGCCAATAACACAGCTGATATAAAAATTTAAAAAGGGCCGAAATTAACCCCCGTCAAGTGACGAATCTACGCATTGCTGCGCCTCTCGTACAAACATCATCGCTCTTTTGTTCAGTTTTTTCATACGACCCCTGACCCTAACGCTGGCTTCCCATTGGTCAGTGCAGAGCTGCTGCCCGCGGAGGCGCTGGAGCTCACGGAGGTCGGCACGCAGAGCATGCGCGCCTCGTGGACCCACGCTCGCGGGCGGGGGCTGCGTGGGTACCGCGTTGAGACGCGGGCCGTGCTGGGTGGAGACGAGGAGAGCGTCACGGTACCGTAACAACAGCAGCAGGAACACTTTAAATTCGTCGTCGTCATCGCCATAATGTTGATGTTAATTGTCTGTGATCAATTTTTATTTAACGTAGGGCAGTCAGCTCGATTGACCATACCGCATTCATAGATTCCAAGTTTATGTTGTTCAACCATGTAAAACTAAACTTAACTTTTTATTTTAGCAGGTGAGGCCAACTGGGCTATATCCCTCTTTTTCAAAAGCGACATGGTCACAATGATCATTCAACAAAGTGCCTTATCACGTGGAAAATTATAGCAGCTAAATACTCTAAACGCATGTTGATTATAAATGTGGAGGGGAAAACTGGAGGACCTGGAAAAAAAATCCATGCCACCACAGGGAGAGAGACATGCAAACTCCAAATATACAGGCATCGTCAGGGTCGGGATCGAACCGACGACCTCCTGTATAACAGGCTAGGCAGATAACATCTCGCCACTGGGGTGACCTATTGTTAAAATCAACGTTGTTATAACATTGGTTTTAACAACACAACCAGTGAGCTGATTTCATCGCTCTGTCTCCATAGAGCACATTCACTCGCATGCATTTCCCTTCCTTGGCTAGCCACTCGGTCGTCAGTCTCGACCACCAGCCGTCATCCCTCCTCGCAACGTGTCCTGCCCACGTCCGTCCAACTTTTTCTAAACAGTCAAAGTGATGCCTTTCAACCTGCGTGTGTTCTCTTAATCCGTGTGTTCCTCTTCCTTTGAACTCGCACATTCAGGGCTTGGGTTTCTCACGCAGCCGCCGATGTTTTAAGTTGACCTCCGTCCGACCTCGTGTCCCATTTGCTGGATTTAGAGGCTTTACCGAGTGGAGGCTTAAACACTCCACCGGTCCGCACGACGGCTCGGACTTTCGGTTTGCTTCCGGAACGTGCTCACCTTCTGGCTCGCTCGCTCGCTCGCCTGCCCACCCAGGTGAGGGACTCGGTGAACAGCGTGCTCGTCGAGGGGCTGCGGCCGCAGACGTCGTACGAGGTGAAGGTGTACGCCATCTATCAGGATGACGAGAGCGAGCCCGTCACCGCCGAGGAGTCCACGCAGGAGGGTGAGCATACGCGGGGAACGGACGCGCGCAACGGACGCACGCAACGGACGGGCGCATACGGCACACTTGGACGACTTGCTCAGACGCGCTCAGCTTACACGCTCAGACGGCACGCTCAGATGACATGCTCAGAAACGCTCAGATGACACACTCAGAAACGCTCAGATGACACACTCAGACGACAAGCTCAAATTCCATGCTCAGATGACTCGTGCAGACGACATGCTCAGACACACTCAGATGACACACTCAGACGACACGCTCAGACACAGCACAGAGGACACGTACAGACGACACGTTCTGACGACAAGCTCAGATGACAAGCTCGGACCACTCGCTCAGATTCGCTCAGATGACATGATCAGATACGTGCAGACATACAGGCATGCTCAGCCACGCACAGACATGCTCAGACAAGTAGCTTCACATGCAGACACGCTTAGACATGCGTGGGTATGCCCGGACACAAGCAGACACACAACAGGCGCACAGCAGACACACTCAGACACGCAGAGTCATGCGGAAAGACTAACAGACATATGTAGGGGCAAGCACAAAGACACACTTTTTATAGAAAATTATATTCGTATTGCCTTGCAACCATGTTTTCGTATTGCATTACAACCATGTTTTTGTACTTGTATTGCACTGCATTAGTATGGCGCTAGACGTAGCCAACCGTGCTAATCGGAGGTGCACGAAATTGCGGTAAATTGGTAATTGCGGTGTCACGGGTGTGGCTCCGGCGCAGAGCGGGGAATCCCTACGAGCGTGCAGGTGACGGCGGAATCGTCGGAGAGCCTGCGCGTGGAGTGGATCCCGGCGCCGGGCCCCGTGTGGTCGTACCGCGTGCGCTACTCGGCCGTGGGCGCCCGCGGTGCCGGCACCCGCGGCGGCAAAAACGACGCCGACAGCGGGGACGTGTTGGTGACGGGGGAGGAACGCAGCGCCACGCTGGGAGGCCTGCGCTCCGACACGGAGTACGCCATCAGCGTCGTAGCCGAGTACGACTCCGGCGTGAGCGACCCGGCCGTGGGTCGGGGCAAGACTCCCGCAGGTGAGGAGGGAGGGCGACCAGTTGGGATGTAGCTTGTGGGAAATCCAAATTACCGTGGTCAGGGGAGGTTGGGGGGTTGCCTTTCTCTATATTGCCGTGTCAACCACGGGAGGGGTGACCGGCTGGGTTCAGGTTTCACCTGGTGTCGAACTTGTGACAATTCCATTTTTGAGTGGAGCACGCAGACCTCAGAGCCATTCTCTCGCAGGCGAGGAGGTGATGCACACCTGTCTTCCATGCAAACGTACACACTGCAGTGTGGATTTATATTGCACCTGAATGTGATCGTAAATGAAGACACGCTAACCCATGCGCATGTTCAGTTTATAGGCAGAGGCATTCAGTCATAAGCAAAGTCAACAGCACACATGGATGGGGGAAGGGAGTTCCAGATTCTGGGAATGGCGGACTAGAATGTATAGCCTCAATAGTCAGCGTTTTGCTTAATTAATTAAAAATTCATACTAAGCTCACGATGCATTGAATTGTACTGTTAAGAATGTATTCGTTATGTTTTTCTTGTAATTGGGAAAACATGCACCACCAGGGCAAAACGATAACCGATTCTTAAAAATAATCACAACTCTGAAGTAGTGAGAATTCGTGGAATCATAAAGGGGGCTGAATCAATGCATGCCTAAGGGATATCCGAAGACTACGGGCCACCGCTTATTATTACAGACTGCAGAGTCAACGATCGTTAACGAGCGTCTATCGAGACCACCGTGCTAAGAAGGAGTGATTTGGCCAGCACCCCCACACACACGGCCTCCTTTGTCTCCCGGTACTGATGGTTGTGCACCATAGTAGATGGTTATTTAAGGCCAAGTTAACGTAAATAACTATCTTAGGCCAAGTCAACTTGGGGAAGACCCAGGACATTTTTTCCAGACACTGTGTACCACTGATTGCCCAATGGCCTCATTATACATTCCTGGTCTGCTTGGAATGTGTGCAGTGCATGACCCTGCTGTGATACTGCTCCTTACAAAAAAAACAAAGACAAAGATCCCCTGTATATCCTTCAAAGATTGTTGTGGAAAAGTGCTTTTAAAGACCAACTATTAAGGTCTGTACAGCACATGAAAGATTGGTTTCCAGCACCACCCCGGCCTCCTTTGTCTTTCAATTTGCTGATATTTACACATGGCATCAGGCACTAATTTAAGGCTGAGTCTAGAGGAGGCCCAGGACCCATTAAGATGTTCACCATTGATGTTGGCCATGAACAAGAATCGAACTGGTGACGCTGGGATCATACCGCACTGCACTAACTACTGCACTACTGCCCCATACACCATAGCCATGTCCAGAAATTAAACTCAGGTCAAACACATACACCAGGTTCACACTAGGTTCGCTAGGTTCATAATGCAGCGTGCTATCCACTATTCCATCACTCCGCAAACACACACACACACACACGTATGCATGCATAGTATACACACATGCATGCACACGTACATTCGAAGACAGATGAATGGGGAATAAGACAAAAACACGTGGACTTACTGACAGGTTGTGTATGATTAAAGATAAAGATTACGTGAAAGGAAAATACAGATTGTTTATAAAGGCTACACTGTGACATTTGTGCAGATCCATTATAGCGCCTGAGGGTTTTTTCCTCTAAGATGTAAAAGTGCTCGTCAGGTCATTGCCAGAATGTGATGAGTGAGGCCCAGTATTTACGCTCGCTCTGTGCCATGATGTCACGATGGAAGAACGGATTGTGCGATAGCTCACCACGTAATAATAATAAAATGCTGCCGACATTTAAACGATTTATTTTTGTAAAATTTGCAATGTCCATAAATTATAGCTTTTAAGTAAAGGTTTTGTGACAGTAGATTTTCCATTAAGTAGTGTGAAGATCCGTCTTTAAAATAGGCTCCAGTCGTGGCAGGGTGGTGGAGGACGAGTGAGATTAGGGGCCGATGTAGGGTCACCACCTCTGCAGTAAAAAAATTCGGGATATATATCATGCGATTAAAAAATAATATTTACAATACTGGAGGAGGCGAGAACTACATTTTTAAATGTATTGTTAAATCCATTGTCTTTAGTGGTGAAATAATTAGACAACTGACAAAAACTTGGTTTTACATTGTCCTGTGTAGACTTGGACGTTTTTCCAGGACGGCTACCTAAAAAATTGATAATAATTTGGGAAACGCCAGCACAAGTTGCAACCCTAGGTGGATGTCCACGGGGTGATGGCGAGCAGCCTTTGGCCTCAATGGCAAGGGTGGGGATCCTACGGCCTGTGGGCCATATACACTATGAGGCCTACCACTTTGAAATAAATGTATTCGTCACTCAAAACGATATTATCTGTCACTGCAAGCATCTTGGACCCGCTAACTGGATAACCAGTGGTGGATATTTTCGGTTTGGCAACACTGCGTTTCGAGTGATACCGAGTAGTTTATTGCGGCTCTGCGGCGCAAGCTCTCCGATGGGTGTTATTCGGCACGATCCCGCGACGTTCCGCTCCCACGTGTCTATGGAGCTTCTTGAGCAGCTCGCATTTTCCAAACATCGTTGTACAAATGTCACTACTAGGGAGATAAAGGTGACCGTGTGTGGTGATGAATTGAATCTTATAATTTTAGCACGCTCTGTTGCTCCCATCACTGGATGAGCCTCTTGATGCTCATGTTGTTTTTTGTACAGCATTTCTTATTTGATGACGATAAGGTGTGGTAAAATCTGTGTGGTCATCCGCCAAAGTTTATTTGAAAGCCCTATTTGGCACTCGGTCAGAAAAAAACGGTTCCCCACCCCCTTCTCAATAGGGCCGTGGTAACGAGACTTAAGGTCACGCTAGGCCTCACGTTGGCCACGTGGGTCTGCTGGCAATGCAGCTGCGTGCGGTTCATCAAGTCCTGGCACAAATTACTCTGCCGATTATAGCGCAGTGAAGCATTATGTTGATTTAATCAAAGATACACGTCACGTTTTTGTTTTTTTAATAATACTTGAGTTCGTTAGGCATCCTTGCTTAGGCCAAACGGATAATGGCTGCGTTATGTTGATGCAGCGATTGTGTCCTCAGTTACTGCGCTTGCCTTTGATTGCGGTACAAACTGTGTTTCACGTGCGCTGTGAGGCGTAACGCCACGCATAAGAGAATCATTAAATAGAGCAATAACGATTATCATTATTGCAACGATGATGAAATGCATACATGGCCACTGGGAAACGCAGAAGCCACTGCAGTGGACTTCGTTGGTGGGTCGTAAAACCAAATAATAGATTGCAAGGACGTCAGGGTGTGCTGTACATGTTTGAATTATCCAGACTATGAGATTCACTTTTATGCCCCCCCCCCCACCTGTATTTTAAAGAGTAACATTTTGGGTGTGGTAGGGGTGTGTGTGTGTGTCTGATCAGATTTGTACAACTATCCACACTCGGCACAACTTTGGCGTGTGTATTACTCTCCGTAGCATCTTAAAACACGTAGAACACGGTAATATTTCCTCTATATTGTGCATATAATGCTTTGAATTTCATGGAAGGATAGGGTACGCTACTTGGAAGACTGTAATCAAACATGGTAAGAAATTGTTGTATATGAAATCAGGAAGATTAGGTTGCAATGGGTCGGACACATATGCTGGGGTGGAGGAAGATAGCGTAAGCAACTTGGAGGTTGGGAACAGATCGAGGCATGAAAGAGCCGTCAATGTAATTAATGGGTGGGACACCTGTGCGGCATGGAGGGAGGCCAGGTTACCAAGAGTGGCAGTGGAGTTACACCCAGAGGTTCGCGACCGAGGGGAAGACCTAAAGACAGGCGGTGGCGGTGGTGGCGATGAGACTGTAAGAGAGGAACCTCGAGAGAAGTTGGTGTTGACTTTACCACAGCCACGGTGTCTAGCGGAAGGAAGGAAGCGATGGCGAAGTTTGATGGTGGTGGTGGTGGTATTGATGGCATTAATGCAATTATGACCTCTTGACCTTGATTGCGGCTTTAGCGGAGACACACTTCAAAGGAATTCACGGGATAACTCTTACAACACATGAAGGTTTCGATAAAAACAGATCTGGTATAAAACGTAATTGAAACAAGATTGCAGAAAAAAGTTAAAAGCAAGTGAATGGTAAAATAAAACAAACACTTTTTTTTTAGCAGTCATTATAGGTGCAGCCCTGCCATTTGCTTGCTCATGCCACTGTTGGCAGGAGGTCCTCCACTGCAGGGGAGCTCTAGACTGTATTTGGCCTTCTCTTCTACGCTGTTGAGACGTCTTGAGAGACATCGAAGTACTCACACCCTTTAACCCAGGGCCGGATTAAGGTTATTTTAGGCACTTGAAAACGTTTATGTTTTGTAGGCCTTTAGTGATAACTTTCTACAGTTGGTACTGCTAGCCATGTTGCCACCCTTGCGTTCCTCTCTATTGAGAATGAGGTTGTGCTATAAACACAATTTTAAGATGTTATTGCTAATTTTGCAATGAACAAAAATCTCGAAAAGATCATCTCCGGTGTTAATTTCTCACACCTTATGAAAAAAAAGATTCACATGACTCTGCCTCTTTCTATATACACTGTGCCTATCCTTGCTATATATGAATATATTTATTCAAGAAGATATTTTGGTAACATTTTTTTCATACAAATAAAAAAAAACATGGTAAAAACTATTTTCTGTAAACCCTTTAGTTTTCGTAGGCCGTATGCACAGGGCCTACTGTGGCCTCTTGGGTAATAGGGCCCTGCCTTTTCCCCCCCCCCCCCCCCCCCCTTAGATGTGACCTGCCCCATTGCCTACGGTTACATCTACCGCACCGGGAGATTGAATCCAACTGGCGTGCTCAACCAGCATCCCCCGACATAATACAATATGGCTAATAATCACGGCATCTATTTTAAATAGCAGTGGATTGTGATTGACCACAGGGGCAGCTCGTTTCAAAGCGGTGGCGCGCAATTTGAAGATGACAAGACGGGTGTGGGAGGTTGTCCAGCAGCGCGTGCGGCGAGTCTGTCGCCTTCCGTCTGCATTGATTCTCTCAGGGCTATTCGCGCCGCCTCCCCTCCAGGAGGACGAACGCTGGTGTGTGCGGCTCGCCCGCGGTAGACCACGGTCGCGTTTACAAGAGGTCGGAGGACCCGGTACAGTATTGGCAGGGTGAGTTACAGTTTCGCTGAGAAGTTTGCTCCGAGCGAGCGAGGAGTGAGGAAGGGGCAATTGAAGCACTGCCAAAATGGCAGAAACCGAGCTACTGCAATAAATGGCAGCGGCAGTTTGATAGAGATCGGAAAATAAATACTTGAACTTGAAGCCGTGGTTGGGCTACCGCGTGCGTGCGTGCGTGACAGATGTTGGTGGGGAGGCGGTCGTGTGGCGGTTATAGCGCCCTGCGCCGCGAACCGCGGCGTCTGCACCGGTGACGGTCATCTGAACCGGTCCTGGGCCGGCTCCTAGGTCGGCTCAGCCTCAAATGAGTACCCTGTGGAGACAAAGGCGGCCAGTGGGTGGTGTTAGCCACTCTTCCGTACGTGTGCCGTTGCTGGCTTCATAGGTTGCTCGCAAGCAGCGCTCGCCCCAACAATCTGTTGAGGCTTTTACGGGGGATCTCTGCTAGAGATGTTTGTGCAGTGAATACAGAGTACGAGAGCTGTCACCAAGTAGGAGTGCATTATGACCAATTGTTCGATTTTTGGTGCTTGGATAACCCACCTCGTGGCTCACAGCGGCAGAACGCTTGGCTTGCAATCAGAAGGTCAAGTCAGTCAGGGGTCGACTAAGATTTTCAACCCATTCCTCGTCTATGGTGACATTCGCTCTTGCCAAAGGAAAGTGTACATTTCTTCCACTGACTCTAGGCTGTAAAACAAGAGATGGATTGCGGCCCCCTACTCAATTGAGCAGGAAAACAACTTTGATTTTAAATTTTATTCTTAAGATTGAACAAATAACTTTCCTTTCAACTGCAGGCCTCGAATCTTATATTTATTGATAAACATTTGGGGAGATGAATGGGATCTGATGAGTATGACATAATTGCACACACACACACAAGGACATACAGACACAGATCCCTCGTTTAGCCTGAGTGAGGTCAGCACGGCACACAAGCCAACGGTGGGGCCGGCACAAATTGACGCATGCACTTCACACACACACACAAGAAAATACACACGCACGCACACACACAAGAATACGCACACACACACAAGAAAACACACACGCACACACACAAGAATACGCACACACACACAAGAAAATACACACGCACGCACGCACACAAGAATACGCACACACACACACAAGAAAACACACACGCACGCACACACACAAGAATACGCACACACACACACAAGAAAACACACGCACGCACACACTCAAAATACGCACACACACAAGAAAATACACATGCACGCACACACAAGAATACGCACACACACACAAGAAAACACACGCACGCACACACTCAAAATACGCACACACACACAAGAAAATACACACGCACGCACACACACAAGAATACGCACACACACACACAAGAAAACACACGCACACACACACAAGAATACGCACACACACAAGAAAACACACGCACGCACACACTCAAAATACGCACACACACACACAAGAAAATACACACGCATGCACACACACAAGAATACGCACACACACACACAAGAAAACACACGCACACACACAAGAATACGCACACACGCACACACACAAGAATACGCACACACACACAAGAAAACACGCTCAGGCACAAACGAATACGCACACAAAGATCCCCCTTAGAGCCTTAACAGACTGTAATAGGGCAAGTGCTGTTCGCGAGCACCTACTGAGGCTGGCACGGCACACGAGGAGGTGGGTGGCCAAGACCACGCCTGGCCGCCTTTGTCTTCCCAGTTGCGATGTTTATATACCACACCAGGTACTCATTTGAGGATGAGTTGACCTAGGGGAGTCCCAGGACCGGTTCAAATAATATTCACTGGTATTGGGCCGCGGGCGGTAATCGGGTCGCCGGGTTCGTAACGCAGCGTAGCGCTAAGTGCTACCCTACTGAACCCCACACCACAAGACAAACTCACACGCACAAGAAAACACACACGCACGCATACAAACACACACACACACTCGTACACATAAACAAACGCACGCACGTGCGCAGACGAGAATAAGCGCTCGCGCGCGCGCACACACAGACACAAAGCGCTCCTTATGAATGTCTAGTCTCCGGCACAGTAGCGCAGCACCTAAGCGGGTGCGAACGTGAGCGGAACGTTCAGCGGGAGTATCGGGATGTGGGATAGAGAGTGAGGCACAAGTTGGGGGGGGGGGCTGCAGCTCTTGCTGCTGCTGCTGGTGGTGGTGGTGGCCCGAGTGGTGGCAGTGCCGAGGACTCTACCACGGGAAGGAATGGGGGTAGGAGGTATAACAGATGAGTTGCCAAGTGCGAGTGGTGATTTGTGTGTTTGAAAGCTGGCAGTTGTCATCTACGGTGGGATGGGATGGTGTGGCTGGTGGAGTTGTGTAAGGGGTGGAGGGTTGTGAGGGGGGAGTGAGCAGCGGTGTGTGCAGTAGGGACGGCAGATAGACGCAGAAATAAACAGTGGGAGTGCGAGAGACGGTAACAAAGGAGAGTGAAGAGAAGAGGGGGGGGGGATGCAGAGAGTGGGGGGGGGGGCGTGAAAATTCTTAAAATTCCTTCCATGACCACACACACTTTCCACTTTCCAGTAGCCCAGTCACTCAAGTGGAATATAACAAAAATTTTGGTATAAAAATTAAATAAATAACTGCATGTTCAAAAAAATAAAAAAATAACAATAACGGTAATAAAATAAATAACACACTGGGAGGGATGTGTGGGGTGGGGGAAGCTTCTGGTTTTAATCAGTGCTGGCTTGTGCCGCTGCGCTCTGCGCCAGAAGTGGATGCTGCAAAATGTAGGCCTCTTTGGCAAGGAGAAAGTTGCATGGATTCCAAATAGGGAGCCCCAGTGATGTCAACGTGTGTCACTCAGGGCTCCACAGTGAAGGGGAGCACATATTCCCAGGCGCTGTGGTGGGCGCGTGCGCGTGCGTACGTGCACAGATGCACGCGCCCACACGACGAAATACGCGCACGTGCACGCAACGACGCAGCCATGCACGGATTAGGGGGGGGGGAAGATCTGTTAGCGAGCACTTTGACATGCAGGTACATACACATACTGTCGCTAATTTAGAAAAATATATTTATTTTTGTTCACAATTAATTTCATTCTGGCTTCATGTCATGAAAGTCAGTGCAGATATCTTGCAGAACAGTGCAACAAGACGTTGTGTCTGTGGGAACTGTATCTCACAGAACTACTTCTGAGATCCTTTCAAGAGATGCTAACTACCTCGCCTGGTATTCAGGAGGTCGTGGGTTCGATCCCGACCCTGACTCTTGGATTTTTGGAGTTTGTATGTCTCTCTCCCCGTGGTCACATGGATTTTTCTCTGGGTCCTCCGGTTTTTCCTTCCACATTTAGAATCAACATGTGTTTAGGGTATTTGGATGCTATAAATTACCACTTGATAAGTCACTTCGTTGAGTTATCATTTGTGGCTCGGTCGCTTCTGAAAAATAAGCTAATAGCTCAGTGGTCCTTATCTGGTAAAATAAATATAGCTTAAATTTTGATTTAAAGCTTTCGTGACTGCAGGAATTCATAAAAATATAAAACAATAAAAATTTATATTTTTATTCTTTTATTGTTTCCTTTCTACGTGACTTTACCGAAAGAACCAAGAATATAAATATAGCTTAGTTTAGTTTCACTCAGTTTTAATCACAGGCCATTACCTGGATTCCAACCCAGGTTCTCAGCGGTGCCAGCTCACCACTCTGACCTCTGAACCACCGCCCGACCACCTCGACCTTTTGTCTTTAAACCACAGAACGCGGCCGTCCGGGTGACGTCGTTTTGACGGACTTCACGTCGAGCGGCATGACGGTGACGTGGGGCCCTGCGCCTGGCCCCGTGCAACGCTACCGCGTGACCTATGCGCCCGTGACCCCGGGCCCCGGGACCTCGGACAAACCGGGCAAGGTGATACTGGGGCCCAACGACTTCCAGACCGTGCTGGGCGGAATGGACCCCGGCACGCGCTACCGGGTGGAAGTGCGAGCGGTGTACGCGGCTGGGGAAGGGGAGCCTGCCCACAGGGAGGGCAGCACCACCACAGGTGGGAGATCGCACCTCCTGCTCCTACCTCATCATCATCATCATTCCCCTACCTCCTCGTCACCATTCTCTTACCCCATAATCATCATGATTATACTCGTCCGGGCACCTCCTCCACCCACAGGGAGGGCAGCACCACCACAGGTGGGAGATCGCACCTCTCACTTCATCATCATCATCATCATTCTCCTACCTCATCATTTTCCTACCTCATATCATCCTAATTATACTCCTCCGGGTACCTCCTCCGCTCACAGGGAAAGCAGTACCACCAAAGGTGGTAGATTGCACCTCCTCATTATCATCATCATTCCCCTACCTCCTCCAGATCATGTTGCTCCTCCTCCCTCTTCCACCCACAGAGAGGGCTGTATCACCACAGGTGGACAATCATGCCTTCTTCTTCCTCATCCGGTTGTCATGTGTCATCTGTTGCATTCGGTTAGACAGCATTTGCCTCTCTAATAAATTTGATCTCAGTCCACCTTCTATAGGGATGCTGCCGCGGTGCGATGGTTGGTACAATGGGAGAAATTCAGTTTCTGAAGAAGCTCTCAGTACGTGGAGCACAACGTCGGATGCCCATCCGAACAACGAGCGGCACAAACCCAGATAACACGCACCGGGGAGAGCCGTAATGTAGATCGGTTGCCGTGTTCTGTGCCCTGTGCGTGCGTGTGGTGCATGTGTGCTCGCACTTAGATGGAGGAGACCCTGGCACGCTGACCGTATCCGAGAGCACTCCCAACAGCTTCCGTGTATCATGGCAGGCAGCAAGGTGCGGCACCCACCCACCCACCCACTTACCCACCCACCCACCTACTCACCCACCCACCCACACATTTTTCTGGGCATCGTCAGTATGGGTAGCATCACGAACGATATTTGTCTTTGTCAGGGAATGACACCGTGGCGTCGCGGTTAGCACACCGGACTTGCAATCCAGAGGTCGCCGGTTCGATTCGATCTCCCGGCAGCGACAGCGGCGCCAGTTGAAACAGTGGTGCGAGTTTCTAAAATCCAGCCGCGCCTCTGTGTACCCAGCAGTTCCAATGGGGTTTATCGCGGTTGTTCGATCAGCGGGCCAAATGTGTGGTAGGGTAAAGTGAGGGGATGAGAAATATTTTCAAAACGTCTGGCCAGCATGAAAGAGTAGGCCAAAATTCACTCTGCGAGGGGCTCTCTAGAACTTCGTCGAGCGAGGACGCTTCCGCCAGCGGCGGTGTGAGCAAGCAACTTGCAGGGCTTGCGCCTTAACCGTCAATGTCAGGGAGCAGTAGCGCCAAATCCACCGCCAACAGTGTTGGCGGTGGAGTTGACTGGTGACGAGCGATAAGTATCTGATTGCTGACTGCATAATTTTTATCATCAATGAAGGCTGGTATTTCAAATTTTAAAATGATTATTTAAGTTCCAGAATCTGATGTATGTCTAATTCCATTCTGAAAAAAGAGTTATAATACGCGATTGCTGGCACAATATTTTATAATTATATTATTCTTTTACAGTTAATTTATTACACTGATCATCATCAAAGTAATCATCAGCTATTTCACTATTATCTCCAACAACAAAGTCAACAACAACATGAGTGTTATTACTTCAATCAATATCATCCGCTCTCTATCGACTGTTGGATGAAGGCCTATCATTACTAATGCCATTACCTCTGTTTCGTGGCAACTGCAGTCCACCTCACTTCCACTCTTTTGCACCGATTTACTCGCTCCATCTCCCATACTGGCGTGTCCCCTAAAACTTATTCCATCAATTGGCTGCTGTTCTAAGATCATCTCTGCCAAGTGTTTTCGGTTTTTGACTGCGTGTTGTTCGGCATTGTGTCTGACGTTTCACTTTGTTCTGCTGGTAGCTTCTCTTTGGAGACCGAATACCGTGGCGCAGGACACCCGGTACCACCCGAAAACACATCGCAGAGTTGTACGGCACAACCGCGCAAACCTACGCAGAAGTGTTTGATCACCAGTTGTAGTCTCCCAGAGCGATGAGTTATGTTCCCAAGTTCTCGTTTTTTGGCGAGATGCTTATTTTCTACGTAATCCTTGTTTTCTTCCTCGTGTCCCGCGGAGTCCTTCCAAATGCGGTATTGTGGGATACATGGCTTCTGCATTCCTTTGCGTAATTTCTACGTTGGCTTCCGTACCATTTCATCTCTTTGTTCCATGAAATAGCGTGTGTCAATACGCGGCTGTATACAAGGACCTCCCCTCGTAGTGCGGGCCATGGGGGTCGTTTGACCATATTTCACCACGCTGGTCCATGTGAGTTGGTGAAGGTGGGGAGCATTGACGTGGGATCGTAGCTTCGTAGCCTATAAACACTTGCTGTGCTTCATGGTCACCCATCAGTCTGCACAGTCATATGGGGGAATCTGTCTTTGTGTGTGTGTGCATTTGTTTGTATGTATGTGAAACTTACATGGCCAGCCGTGCTTTTCGGAGGTGCGTGTGTGGGGAGCGTTAGTGCAGTGGTTAGAGTACTGTTCTACAAACCCAGTGATCCGAGTTCGATTCCCGCTCACGACCAATAACACTCAACCGGTCCTGGACCTCCGCTAGATCGTACCTTGCGCGGTGTGTCATCATCAGCTCTGGAGTTACAAAGGCGGCCGGACGTGGTGCTGGCCACCCACCCTCTCTTGTGCCAACCCGACTTTCACGAGTGCTGCTCGCTATAACAGCACTTTCCCCAACAGTCTTGTGTAGGCCTCGCGTGGTGACCTTTGTCTTTGCGGGTTGTCACAGGGGAGCAGTGGAGAACTACCGCCTGCTGTACCGACCGGAGAGCGGGCCGGGCAAGTCGGTGTCCGTGCGCGTCCCCGCGGCTGCCCAGTCCATCATGCTCAAGAAGCTACGCCCCAGCACCGAGTACCAGCTCTCCGTGTTCCCCGTGTACGCATCAGGCGAGGGGAAGCCTGCTCAGGGGAAAGGCTCCACCACTGCGGGTGAGTGAGTTTGGCAGCCGAGCCACTGGGGGGCCAAGGTGGTGGGGAGGGGGGGGATGTGGGGGGTGTTTTGTATGCGGTGGGGCACGTGTTGCGGGGTCGTGTAATGTACGCGGGAAGATCTGTACCACCAGGGGTTCTTTATCTGGCAACTCATGGGGTGGATATGTGGCCCCTTGAAGGCCCTTGGAGTGGCCCACTGAGCTGTGGCCGAGCAAGAGATGTGACTCGCGGACACGTAGAGAGATATGGATTAGTGACGTGAAAACATGAAATCGAGATAACCAGGCGATAGAGATGAGAGAGAGAGAGGAGAGAGAGAACTGTAGACGAAATATGAAGATTAGCGAGATGAAAGAGAGATAAACGAGAGAGAGAGAGATGAGAGAGCCATAGAGCGAGATACAGATGAGAGAGATTTGACAGACAAACATGAGAGAGATGAGAGACCAGGAGAAGAGGTTTGGCGGTCACATGTAGACTCTTAGGATGTCACGAGGCCATCTTATGTAATAAAAGTCTGTACACGCGACGTACGATGTCAAGGGGTCTGCCAGTATGTGCTCGTTTAATTGCATGCTTCATCATGTATTTTGTAAAAAAATATACAATTTTACAGACGATATTGATAACTGCTGTCAATGCCACTGACTGCGCACCATCGGCAGTGAATGCCCTGCGACCTCCCCGGGACCTCACGCCAAGCGAGGTGACACTCACCAGCGCCCGACTCACCTGGAAGCCCCCCACAGCCCCGCAGCCCTCCAATGGGCTCCCCACTGGATACCAGCTTTCGTACCAAGCCGACGGGGCCACGGGCCCCCCCAAAAAGGCTTCTATGCCGGCCTCCGACACCACCTATGTGCTGCCGAACCTCAAGTAAGGGACCTTCGCCGTTCACAATCCGCGCCGCTTTCTCACCTTGAGTTTTATTATTATTTTCCCCAAAAAAGCCTATTTATAATACAGTGTCGCATATCTGACTATCACATACCCACCATGACCAATTTAACCACCTATGCTCAGTGCAGTGTTTAAAACTTAAAAACTATATCAGTTTAACACGTAGGCTTTTGCGACCAATATTATTCATATTATGATTTAAAAACGATGTATTTGTTTTACCAGGTAAGGCTCACTGAGCTGTATAGCTCTTTTTCAGAAGAGACCTGGTCACAAATGATAACTCAACGAATTGGTTTCCCATGGAAATTCATAGCAGCCAAATACTCGAAACGCGTGTTCATTCTCAATGTAAAGGCAAAAACCGGAGGACCCGGAGAAAAATATACACGACCACGGGGAGAGAGAAACATGCAAACTCCAAATATACAGCAGGTGTTCAGGGTCGAGATCGAACCCACGACCTCCTGTATACCAGGCAAGGCAGTTAACACCTGACCACCGCAGCCCCCCTTCTCACCTCCGCGCCCTCAATATTTGTGCTTGATTGTGATGACGACCACTTGTGTTGCGATTGAAACGTCGTAGTTTTTGTTATTTTCTTTGAACCTATCTACATGACTTTACCAAAAAACCCAAACAATATGAATTCCTGCAGTCACGAAAGCTTTAAGTCAAGATTGTGTAACCGTCGCTTTCTATAGATGTAATTGCAGCCGACCTCTCCATATATCTGCCTATATGATAGTCTGCAGGTAGTCGTATATGCAACGTTGTGCACCTCATATTCTTGGTTCTTTCGGTAAATTCACGTAGAAGGGAAACAAAAAAATAATACAAAATATAAAACAATAAAATTATCACGACGTTTCGACTGCAACACAAGCAATCATCATCAGGTGTGAAAACCACAGCAAGAAAATTTGAAAAAAATTACGTTTTTTTTTTACGTTAGCACCACGGAAAGCGATTTGGCAGTTATTCAGATGGACGAGTCCATCTATGTTCGGAAAAGAGGAGGGAGGAGACGAAAATAATGGATGCAGTCTGAAAGCCACCATAAGAGTGAACAATCAATTAAGACCCGAAATGATTTATCAAATCCTTCCAATGATTGCTAAGCCAGAATCCATCTTTTCGGTTGAATTATCTCTGTGTTTGTATATGTGGATAGCCTCATGAACGAATCTCTCATGGTAGCCAGATGGCTTGCAGATAACCTCTGTCTTGGAGAAGTCAATGTCATGTGAGCCTACTGAATTATAACAGTGAACTGCCACAGCCGAGGTGTTGATCCTACCGTGTTTTAGGTCTGCTTTGTGTTCACGGATGCGGTCCGAGACATGTCGTTTGGTTTCTCCAATGTAACTACTACCACAGAGGCAACTTAGTTTGTAGACGCCAGGGTACTGTATGTCCGGAATCACATCTATTACAGACGGAACCAGATCACGGATTTTATGTAATGTGTTGAAACGGACCTGGATCTTGTGTTTATTCAAGATTTTGGAAATCTTTTTTGTGATCCCCGCAATGTAGGGTAAAGTGATGGTTTTGTAAGGCTCCTCAAGAGGGTCCTTCATGGTTTGAGTGATAGCTTTGCGGATTGTATAGTCAGAGTAACGATTAGCCTTAAGAGCTTGGTGTACGTGCTTGAGTTCACTGCCTATGTGTTCCTGGTCGGATATGCATTGGGCTCTATGGTGCAGAGTCTTGATGAGGGAATTCTTCTGTGATGGATGGTGGTGGGCATCCAGTTTCAGGTAAGCATCTGTATGGGTAGCTTTCCTGTAGACAGAGTGGCTCATTGAACCATAAGGTCTCTTTTTATTAGGACATCCAAAAAAGGTAGCTTGCCATCTTTTTCAACTTCCATGGTAAATCTGATGGCTGGGTGTATGGAATTGATGTGGTCGAGGAATTGGTCTAGAGCAGGCCAGCCATGTGGCCAGATGACAAAAGTGTCATCCACGTACCTCTTCCATAAGGTTGGGCGCAGAGTGGCAGTCTGGATGGCGTGAGTCTCAAATTTCTCCATGAAAATGTTGGCTACAACCGGAGATAGGGGAGAGCCCATTGGGGTGCCCTCAGTTTGTTTGTAGAAAGTTCCATTCCAAATGAAGTATGTAATGCTTAAGCAGTGTCTCACCAGGGGGGGTACCTCAGTGTTTAGTCCTTGATGAACCAAGTCTTCAATGATTGCGATGGTGTCAGGTACAGGCACTTTGGTGACTAAGGAAACTACATCAAAACTGACAAGCAGGTCGTCTGGGGACAGGGAAATACCCTTGATTGTCATTACCAGGTGAGTAGAATTTTGTACTGCAGAGGTGGTTTTTCCAGTGAAAGGCCGCAGGATTTCATATAGAAAACGAGCCAGTGTGTAAGTGGGGTAGTTGATAGTAGAGACGATGGGACGAAGGGGTGTATCTACTTTATGTATTTGTGGTAAGCCATATAATCTTGGTGGCCTGGCAGCAGAAGGTTTCAACGAGAACTGTTGGTTTGATCAATTAATGCGGTTGAATCAGAAATGATTTTCGTCTCCCCCCACCTCTTTTCCGGATATAGATGGACTCGTCCATCTGAACAAACTGTCAAATCTCTCTCCGTGGTGCTAACGTTAAAAATAACCGCCACTTTTATCAAATTTTCTTGCTGTGGTTTTCACACCTGATGATGATTGCTTGTGTTGCAGTCAAAACGTCGTGAGAATTTTATTGTTTTATATTTTTATTATTGTATTGTTTCCCTTTTACGTGACTTTACGGAAAGAACCAGGAATATGAATCCCTGCAGTCACGAAAGCTTTAAATCAAAATTTAACCGCCTTTATGGGGAGGGTTTCCACATAGCTTTGAGATCCTTCAACAAACCCCGGGATAAGAAGGCTCAGCGGATCGAGTCTCTCACCTTTCTGAAGAGATTCCGCGACTCTGGGGTAATACCAATCGCATTTACACTGACCTCTGCTGCTGTAACTTCTTCTAATGCGAAACGAATTCTTTCCAGAACTAGCTTACCTCTTATCTCAGAGAAAATCAGACTTATACGCCCCGAACTAGATCAGTTAGACAAGACACTCTACAAATCACACTTATCATTGACGGCAACAATGTCCATATCGGATTGGGAACATGTAGACAATATGACTGCCTCTTCAGCTACCACTATGTTGACCAAATGTAAGGACAACCTGATTTCCAAATTTAACCTTCTCTCCAAGAAAAGACCGGACCCACACACCAAAAAGATAGACGTTAACAAAGTCGTAATTAATCGCAGTAACAGTTCTATTTCTGATGGTCTGAAATCCGTTTTAGCTAAAAGGCTAAACTTTGCAGTCACACTTAAACACATACCAGTTAATGATATCATTGCCCAAGTAGACGTGGCTCTCAAGGGCCTGGGTCCCATTGCTGCAGACGTAGCAAGATCTGAAATCGCTGCAACCCTCAAAAACGCTAAGATGCCAGCTAGCAACCTCAGCAAAGATGAACGTATTGAATTATATAAATTAAAACAAGAGGGATGACATTTTCATCCTCTCAGCCGACAAGGGCAATGCCACTGTCATTATGGATAAAATAGAATATAACAACAAAATTCAAGAATTACTCAACGATGCCAGCTATACAAAAATAAAGAGAGATCCCACCAACAGCCTCGTCATACAAACCAACAAAATCATTTCTGATTCAACCGCATTAATTGATCAAACCAAACAGTTCTCGTTGAAACCTTCTGCTGCCAGGCCACCAAGATTATACGGCTTACCAAAAATACATAAAGTAGATACACCCCTTCGTCCCATCGTCTCTACTATCAACTCTACTATCAACTCCCCCGCCTACAAACTGGCTCGTTTTCTGTCTGAAATCCTTGCGCCTTTCACTGGAAAAACCACCTCTGCGGTACAAAATTCTACTCACCTGGTAATGACAATCAAGGGTATTTCCCTGTCCCCAGACAACCTGCTTGTCATTATGAGACCTCCTTCATAAAGCAGTGCATACCAACTTTGGTGGTACCTGCTATCACTACAGCAGTCCATACCGACTGTAGTGGTACCTGCTATCACTACAGCAATGCATACCGACTTTGGTGGTACCTGCTTTCACTACAGCAATGCATACCAACTGTGGTGGTACCTGCTATGACTACACCAGTGGATACCGACTTTGGTGGTATCCTGATATGACCACAGCAGTGCATACCAACTGTGGTGGTACATGCTATCACTACAGCAGTGCATACTGACTGTGGTGGTACCTGCTTTCACTACAGCAGTGCATACCGACTATGGTTGTACCTGCTATGACTACACCAGTGGATACCGATTTTGGTGGTATCCTGCTATGACCGCAGCAATGCATACCGATTGTGGTGGTACCTGCTGCCACTGCAGCAGTGCATACCGACTGTGGTGGTATCTGCTATAACTACAGCAGTGCATACTTACTTTGGTGGTACCTGCTATCACTACAGCAGTGCATAGCGACTGTGGTGTTACCTGCTATCACTACAGTAATGCATACCGACTGTGGTGGTACCTGATATCACTACAGCAGTGCATACTGACTGTGGTGGTACCTGCTATCACTGCAGCAGTGCAAACCGACTCTGGTGGTTACCTGCTTTAACTACAGCAGTGCATACCCACTGTTGTGGTACCTGCTATCACTACAACAGTGCATACCGACTTTGGTGGTACCTGCTTTCACTACAGCAGTGCATACCGACTGTGGTGGTACCTGGTTTTACTACAGCAGTGCATACCGACTGTGGTGGTACATGCTATCACTACAGCAGTGCATGCCGACTGTGGTGGTACCTGCTATCACTATAGCAGTGCATACCGACTGTGGTGGTACCTGCTTTCACGACAGCAGTGCATACCGACTGTGGTGGTGCCTGCTATCACTACAGCAGTGCATATTGACTGTGGTGGTATCTGCTATTATTACAGCAGTGCATACTGACTGTGGTGGTACCTATTATCACTGCAGTAGCACATGCTGACTCTATAGCAGTATATATTGACTCTATAGCACAAACTACTAACCTGACAGAGTGCCGTGGTGAGGCCTAGTCCCGTGCAGAGCCCCCGGCCTCGCCTAGATTGCCCAGCCGGCCGAGGTGGCACCTTGGCAGGCTGGGGGCTGGGCCGCTACCCCCCCACCATCCCCCGCCCGCGCTACAATAATACTATCTAAGCGCTATAATATTAGTATCTACTGACCCTATAGTAGTAAGTCCACACATTGGGGTGGGGGTGGGGGGCGAAGAGGACATGACACTTTGATGAATTTACCTCAGCATTGTGTTGGTTTTTTTAAAGCATTTTTTACGCGAATGACAAATCTCCCCCACCCTCCCCCGAAGACGCGTGTGCGTTGCTAGGGGCAACCCCTCGTGGAGTGGCACAAGGAAATAATTACTTAATAAATAGCACTACATTTTTTTTAACCACTTTAACGTTGACGGATGGGAAAACGGGATAGCGCTGGCTCATCACGGGGCTTACGGCGTGGTAACTGGCTACCTTTTTTTAAACGTGAACCCCATTGTTTGCGAGCCAAATACTTCGCAAGTGTGCGTCCACAGACGGACAGACGGACAGACAGACAGACAAAAAATGACATTAGATCTCCATGTGAAATGTGTTTCCAGCATTTTTTAGTTCTCCCACAATGATAAATGTAACTTTAAATCTGAAATATATTTGCAATTTGTTAACGTTTTGCACAGTTTTTCGTTGGCGTGGATTGCTTTGTGCCAAATGGTTTTGCGCTGAAGAAAGCCACATTTTGGTTTATGTGCAGGACCGTGAGTCACATCTTTTGGCTCACATCAACTCGCCTGTTAGTGTGTTGTGTCTGTGAGTCTGTGTGTAAATTTGCCTGCATATGTTTGCGTGTGTGTGCACTTAGAGTGCGCACAACATTTTTGCTTATGGTTAACATCAGTGGCCAATATCTGAACCGGTTCTGGGTCGCTGCTAGGTCGACTCAGTCTTAAATGAGCACCTAGATTGGTGTGCAAAACATCAGCACTGTGGGAGTCGAAGATAGTGCTGACTACACCACCCCCTCTTGTGACATGGGTGCTCCCAAGCAACACTTTCCCCAATTGCCTGTGTAGGTTACACAGGGGATTGTTGTCTTTGTGTTTACACGTATCCAAAATTCCCTTCCTCTGGCCATCCACACTGCTAAGACCTCCTGTTCAAGTCCAGGCTCAAGACGTTCCACTTCTCTTCTACCTGTGACTGCCTCACTCTCCCTATGAAGAGTATTAGTTTGAGCTTCTACCATAATGGCATCTCAATTTCCCACAGGCCTGCCACAGTATTCATTTTCCTCCCTACATTAATAAAATGAAACAAGATCTTCAAACTCCCTAGATATTTTTATCCAAACACCCCACCCGTGAATTATCACGCTATTTTGAGGACGCGGTTCTGATATGTGTACGGTGCGTGCGTGTGTGCGTTTGTGTGGGTATGCGTGCTTTTATGTGCGCGCAGGCCAGACACGTTGTATCGCTTTGGAGTACAAGCCGTGTACAAGACTGGCATGAGCCCAGCAACAGAGGGGACGCTCCGCACGGGAAAACCAGGGGCCACCTCACCTGGTAGCACACACCCATGCGTGCACACTACAATAACAACAACAACCACCCATCGCCACTTAGTAGTGTAGATGTCACCACGACGCTTGTGCCATGCTAGGTGCACTTTGGGGCCTGTGTATTTTTAGCTTAAAAAACACAAATGCTCCGCAGCTCTCTGGGTGGCTCAGAGGTCAGTGTGCTGCTGAACACCGGCACCACTGACAACCTGGGTTCAAATCCAGGCAGAGAAACTGATTCAAACTGGATGCTCGAGTGTAGTGAGTCGTTGGTCTCAGCCCAGTCAGCAATGACTGTACATTTTTTTGTAAATATGTAGTGACATCGGGGATGTCACTGTATGGTGCCGGCTCAGAAGGGTCGTGCCGTTCTATGTTCCTACATCGTGGACAGCACCGGCTGTGTGTAATACCAGCCCGAGCGGGGCTTGGTGAGCACTGGGATAGTGCGGGCACCACACACAGCGTGTGGTGAGGGCTCTCACGAGGGAGAGTGGGTGAGTATCGGCCCAGGGGCAGGGTTGCACCGGGCCATGGCACTCTGGTTGACCCCGTAGACATGTGATTTGGAGTGTCCACACAGGGGGCCCCAGGTGGGGGGGCTAGTGGATGATCACGTGTCCGGGGAGAGCTCTTGAGAAGGATCGAGAGGGAACGAGAATGCTTGAGAAGGCGGGTGGGGCCGAGGGCGTAGCGGCCCCGACCATAGGGGGATATAAGGTGGGTCCCTGAGAGGGACCGGGGTCGCTGCATTCTACACGCTGGAAGCTCAACACCTACAAGCGGGAAGCTCTGCGTCTCAAACTGGAAGCTCTTCGTCTTACAAGGCCACCACGTGGTCGGAGACCCGAATGAGGGTCCGATCCTTCGTAGCAGTAACCCCTCTGTATAGTGTAGTTAGCTGGGTGGTCACCACCCTAGGGCCGTTACCCCTTTGTGTTACGGTGTTACAATAAATGTGTTGCCTCTACAAGGAACAACGTCTGCGACTCAGTTGGACTCACTACAAATATAACATTTGTTTATGCACTTAACTCAGCTATTTCAGCTCCGAGAAATACAAATATTGGTTTAGCTATCATGCAACGAACATTACCATCAGTGGTAGCGTGGGTAGGAAAGTGTTGCCCCCCTGCTGTGCAGGTCAGAGGTCACTTGAAGGGATATCAGAGGTAGCTGTGTGTTATTCGGTTCTGCGGGCCATTCTCTGCTTTGAAGAGGGGTCATAGCCCGAAATATCACTTATTCCATGTTTTCTCCTTTTTAGTGTCCACAGTGTTATTGAGGAAAGTGTCAAGTATTTGCCATTTGTACTTGCGTGCTGTGCTGCCGGCGCAGTATCACAGTTTTTAGTCTTTCACACGAACCGTTGCTCTGCTCTGCGAGAGATCCTCATCGATTGACACGTCTCAAGCGTGAAATTGAAAACAAAATGGGTCAAAAAATGTGTTTATATTTTGTTGAATCCTACAATTTTTGAATCACAATTATTTTTGTTACAATTTCTTTTGGAAGAATGCCCATGTTCTAATCCGTCTCCACTGGGCCGCCCCCGCTGGGCTGCCCCCTCCCTCTGCAACCTCGTCCTCCTCCGCAGCGTCGTTCGAGTGTTCTTCCCCATCAGTGGCCGACATCGTCATCCTGGTGGACGGCTCGTGGAGCATCGGCCGCCTCAACTTCCGCCTCGTGCGGCAGTTCCTTGAGGCCCTGGTGCAGGCCTTCAACGTGGCCTCCGACAAGACGCGCATCGGTGAGGCCACCGTGCCCATGCCCTTGCACCCCTTTGATATCAGCCATGGACGAAGGTCTGCGATATCTGCTGTAGAGGTAGCGCTGCAATATCTGCTATAAAGGAAGGTCCATGGTATCCGCGATAGAAGTAGTCTGTGATATCCGCTATAGAGGCAGCACTAATATGTGCTCTTGGAGAAGTGCTGTTATATCCATTATAGTGGTAGCCCTATGATATCCACGATAGAGGTTGCACTGTGATAGCTACTCTAGAGGAAGCGCTGCACTATCTGCTTCTGGCCCTACCGCTCATCCCACACACACACCCACATCATGCTCTCGTGATCTGCTGGGGGCTGTAATCAGTGGTGGCTTCTCACTAGGGACCGTAGTGGGGACTGGCACCACGCGTGAAAAGGAAAAGCAATCCCCCCCCCCCCCCCAAACAAAACTGACCCGGTCGTTATAAAGAGGGTAAACTGCATAAACCCTTCCTCCCTCCACCCTCCACCCCTCGTAGAAGTACAAAACAACAATGGAAATTGGCTCCACTGGCCTCTACTGCCCACCATGTAGCCCCGCGGCCTACAACGCCTATTGCGTGTGGTGGTCAATGATCCAAGCAAGTGCTCGTGCAGGTTCAACTCTGCTTAGCTCTCATTATCTGATGAGATTCGTGCATTCTTGGCAATTAGGTCGTCGCAAACATCAACAAGTAGTGCGTAAACAAAAAACAATTGTTCATTATAATTTGGAATTACTGTGTCGCTAATCTGGCTCGGGAGGCATCGAAGAAGCTGTTTTTTTATCACTGCCAAAGCCCCTTTTTTTCTCCAACCTTTGTACTTCTGCACAAAAGCAAAATTTTGGCCGGAGTTGTGTGTTGATTTATGGGCCAGCAATAATTGATTCACAACCAGTCACTCGCTCACCAGCGGCCAGACCCTACTACCATCGCTACTCTTCCCTTGAACATCACCTGGTCATTAATCTGCCGTGATATTGTTGATTCCACACCGTGTTCAAATCAACGCAAGCCCGCAGGTCACAACATACTTCTTGTTCCGCTTTCTTCCGTCGCGCTGTTCCCGCTTGGAATCACCCCTGCCCTCAAGCAACATTTTCTCAATTCAAGAAAAGTCAAAATTATTCCTGCCCTTTACAATTGTAATACTTGCAGCGCTCTTTGTTGCTGGTCGCCTGACATATCGGAGCCGATGGGGCGTTCTCCTTGGCACACCATGATAACAAAAAAATCCCGAGTAGAAAGATTTCAGTTGCGAAATAGGGCACGATTCAAAAGCGGTTACATTCGTAATGACCGAGTAAAAGCATCCAATGTTCCACTGAAATCCAACTGGAAGGGAACGGCTTTAGAAAAAAAAGAGGGAATTGGCATATGAGGATCAATGTGTGTGTGCACTGGCGAGCGGTAGTGTAGCGGTTAGCGTGCTTGCACTATGAATCCAGTAACCCGAGAATCGATTCCCGCTCACGGCCACCAACACAGGTGAAATTATATGGACCGGTCCTGGGCCTCCCCTAGGTTAACTCAACCTCAAATGAGTACCTGGTGCGCTGTGCAAACATCGCCACTTGGGAGACACAGGCGGTCGGGCGTGATGTTGGCCAGCCACCCCCTCGTATACCATGCTGGCCTTCATAGGTGCTACTAACAGCACTTGCCCCAACAGTCTGTTAAAGGCTATACGGGAGATCTTTGTATTTGTTGTTTATGTGCACTGGAGGTTGCAAAGTGCACTTAGCTCTGCACAAGCCTCGTGGGAACATCACTGCCGCTAAGGTTGCGAGCGGCTGTTGTTGATGTTGCCACTGCCGCTGATGCGGGTCCTGTTGATGTTTCTGTCGTCGCCGCTGTTAATGTGACTTCTGCTGCTTTTGTTATTGATGTTTAATGTCGTTTTTGCTGATGCTGTCAGGTCTCGTGCAGTATAGTGGGGACCCCCGTACCGAGTGGGACCTCAACACGTACAGCACCAAGGAAGAGGTTTTGGAGGCAGCCAGGAACCTGCCATACAAAGGGGGTAACACCCTCACAGGTACCCCTCGTCAATGCACTCTCGCCGGTACCAGCACGAGCACAGGCCTTAAACCCAAAGTCGTCATCATTATCATCATTCGCAACGTTATGTCTGTTGTGTCTTGACCCTTCAGAGCAACCCCGGACTCACTCCTTAATCAGACCAGAGGCAGTGAAGCTTCAACATGAACGAGTGCTTTACTGAATGACTCCAGGAAGTGGCCCTGAACCCCAGGGACCGCAGTCCTTTACACCCAAACAACGAAACATAACACTGTCCACTGCTGGATGAACGTTTCCGCACACTGTTGCCATCGCACGTGCCTTGAGTATTAACATTGAGCTCCTGAGATTGCTTCCATTTGGCTCTGTGAGACTGGGCATTTACAATGCACTCAAGATCCATATTGGGAGCTTTACTCATCCATCATCATCACCATCATCAGCCATGATCTACGCATTGCTGAATGAAGGCCTCCGCACGCTGTCGCTATCCTACGAGCCTTGAGTATTAACATTGGACTCCTGAGGATGCTTTCATTTATTTCAGTTAGACCCGGGCATTTTACAATGCACCCAATATCTATAATGAGAGCTTTACTCATCATCCCTCATCATCATCATCGCCATTATCAGCTATGATCTACGCATTTCTGAATGAAGGCCTCCATACGCCATCGCTATCCTACACGGTGTGATGCCACGATCCACCTCGCTCCTGCGCACACGAGCCGACCTCATCGCTCCGTCTCGCAGCGCTCCTCGTCCGCTCACGTGTGTTCTCTGATCCATGTGTTCCTTCTTTCTGTCTCTCAGTAATTCCAAGGGTGAATCTTCTTTTTGGACACTTTTCACCGTGTGTTCCATTTTATTTGTCAACGCCGCCCCTGGTTCTGATCCATGCCACAGTGATTCATGTGCACTGATTGACAACTTTCTTCTGCAGGTCCAATGGTATGGTGAAAAAATCTTATTTTTCCAATTGCATTCCATCCCGCTCGCAATTTACCTCCTCGCTTTAGAAAATCTGCACCGTCACGGGACACCCATGAAGTCGAGCCTAACAGCTTTTTGGGCCCTTCCTGTTGAAATAAAGAAAATCTTATCTCTCTATATATAAATTTGGTCCTGATCTGCATTTAATAACTGCCCATGGACATGTGCACACTGTGATCTGTTTCCGGCGTTAGTGTCTCCATCAAATAACTTCCGTTTGTGCGGCGAACTGACAGCGAGAGAAATGAAACCATGGTAGGAACAGAGCATGAGAAGAGGAGGAAAAAAAAACTCCAAATCAATGCCTTGATGTGGGTTTGAGCCGGTGGCACAATAAAAAAAGAGATTATGCTTTAAATAAATTTCGCAAATACCACATGGAACATAATTCTTCAACCTGACAGGAGTTGGTGAAAAACATATTTTGTCCGTAAAGAATGTATCCACCACTGCTGTGCGGGGTGACTCATTTGTTGACCTGATGGGGGCTGTTAGTTCAAACAATATCTATCAATTCTTATAATTATTATGTATTATTTTATTTTCAAAGTTTTTGAGCAAAAGATAATTTGTAATGGACAACTGATGCCAAATACGTTGAGGTGATTATTCAGGAATGTGCTCATAGTTGTGCGTGTGTGTGCCTTGTCAGAAGGCCAAACTGGCTCAAATATCAAAACCACAGTCACTCTCACCCTGTCTTCTTTTGTGGTCTACTCTTTTTTTATTCATTTTTACTACCACCCCCCCCCCATTTTTAAATAAAAAATTGCTTTATATAATTTTATTTTTTATTTTACTTTATATAATTTCCAAACCCCCGTTGCCAACGCGGAGAAACGTTCCCGCTATTTAATGGCTAATGCCGTGATAATCACGACCCCAGTGGTATCGGTGTGGAGCGAACCCTTTCAGAAACGTCGTATCGTATTGACGCGATTGTGCTTTTGCATTATAAGTAATCTCCCACAGGAAGTGCCCACTGCCATCCGTCATGTTTATGCATTCATGTATCTGTTTTTAAAACTAGCTCGCTAAAACTACAAGGGGATTTAACCATCGCTATAAATGTAGTGCCAAACAACAGCTAATAATGTCAAGTTGGACTTGCTGGAAAAATTAAACTGTCAGTACTCATATATTTTTTAATATGGATGTTAAAAATGTTTACCGTGTGTAACAGGTCATGGTACGGCCCTACTACAAAGATATCTTTGGCCGCGATTGGAGATTGGGCCTCCACTAGACTCGGGGGATCATTTAAGAGCACCACTGAAGGATATTTTGGCCTACTCTTGCATGCTGACTAGACGTCTTTGAAGATGTTTACCATGTGTATATATTTGTTTATATAGGCATGGAGCTGTGGCCGCAGAGGTTATTGCACTATGCTATGTACTCAGTGACCTGAGTTTAAACTATTTAAAGTAAACCATTTTATTTTACTAGATAATGCCCACTGAAAAATATAGCTCTTTTTCAGAAGTGATCTGGCCACAAATAATAGTCCGATTAAATAGCTTGTCATGTGGAAATTTACAGCAGCCATATACTTTATATGCATGTTTTTAAATGTAAAGGGGAAAACCGGAGGACCCGGAGAAAAATACACGTGTCCACGAGGAGAACATGCACACTCCGAATATCCAGGCTTCAGGGTCGGGATCGAACCCACGACCTCCTGTATAGCGTGGCGAAGTTTTGTCAAACAACACCTATGACCCACAAGCCACTGGGAGACCTTCATTCAGCAGTAGATTGACAAAGGGCTGTACATTCGTTTATTACAGTATATGTGTGTGTATATATATACATGGAGGGTTCCACAAAACATGAAGAATTATTTGATGGTTAAGAATAATATTACGTTTGTTCCTTTTTCAGTCAGGAAACCCCCAGTCCCAGGACACCTTTTCAAGAGTCTCACTCGGAATGTTTGCCCAGTTTGTTATGTACTGTATTCTTGCCTGGGGCGAACCAGAGTGGCCCTAAGAAAAGTAAAACAACACTCAAACTTCCCACAGATGGGTTATAAACCTTCTTTCTGTGCTGTCCCCCCCCCACCTAATGGCCACCACACTGTTGCCTTAACATTATGTGGGTGTATGGCAGCAGTATTGCTAGCTTAGTGTACATGCGGTGAAACTGGACAAGGGCCTCATGGGCCGGAGGGGCCCAGGCAGGTGCTAAGATATGAGGAGGAGTGGAGAGGAAATTGGCCCAGGGGGCTACTCCCTTTTCATTGCGTGCACTAGGGCCCATGCTAACCGCCTTTCGCCACTGGTGCATCACAACACACACGCGCAAACAATGGCCCTATCACTGAGTTTTCCACCAACCCTACTTTCAAGTCAAAAAGTTTTTTTTGCGTGTGTGATTCTCAACACATCAGTAAGAGTGCCCTAAAGAGAGAGAAAAAGGATCTCTTGAATTATAGCTAGCGGACTTAATGGGTCAGTGTGCGACAGCACACCATGCCGGCACTTCTCAGGTCACCAAACATGGATACCGGCACTTTTCAGAATTGGTTTCCCCACTCCCACCACCCCCAACTCCCTCTGTGCAGGGCTGGCGCTGCTGCACGTGCTGGAGCAGAGCTTTGGCATGGAGCGGGGGGCACGTTCCTTGCTGCCCAAGATCGGGATCCTGGTGACGGACGGGAAATCTCAGGACGAGGTGCAGGACCCCGCTCGCCAGATGCGCGACCGCGGCATCGAACTCTTCGCCATCGGTGGGTGCCCCCGTCACTGGCACGCAGCCACGTAGGGACATGTAGACACAGCGACGGTACACGGCAACTCAACACGATTGTCAAAAAACACTGCACTCAAATTGACACGTATTTGTACGTGTGTATGAATGGGCAACGTCTAGGGCAATGCCCCTCCTTTATTTTCAGAAAGATGGAGAAACCTGAGAGATTGAGTGGGGAATAGTTGCAGTCCAGGTGTATAGTGCAATCTCCAACTATTATTCACTAAAACATAATCCTGTTATGCGCATATTTGTGGCTTTGCTTTTAAGGGCAGCGTTATTAATGAGTGTGTTTAGTTTTTCATATCTGCGCTCGGGCACCACTGCCAAAGCAGTTTCACAATGTAAAATTACTTTCATTTGTTTCATCGTGATTCTGGCGTGCCCAGTAACCCGGTAGCAAATGAATGACGTAAACAAATAAAATTCACTTGGCACATTAATACATTCATAATAATTAATACAAAAGGACAACAATTTTTATTTTACCAGGTAAGGCACTCTGAGCTATACAGCTCTTTTTAAGAAGCGACCTGGCCACAAATGATAACTCAACGAAGTGGTTCATCATGTGGAAATCTATAGCAGCTAAATGCTCTGAACGCATGTTGATTCTAAAGTGGAAGGAAAAACCGGAGGACCCGGACACTAATCCACACGACCACAGAGAGAGAGACATGCAAACTAAAAATATACAGGGGCGTCAGGTGTCGGGGTCGAATTCAGGACCACATGTATACCAGGCGAGGTAGTTAACATCTCAACCTGCGCGGCGATGTTGACGGAGGCGGCGTTGCCCATTATCGTCGGGCACAGGCATCAAGAACGCAGACGAGAGCGAGCTGCAGCTAATCGCGTCACCCCCGCATGCCGACCACATGTACATCGTCGCCGACTTCAACGTGCTGGACTCCATCATCGAGGGCCTCACCCGCACGCTCTGCAACCGCGTTGAAGCACAGTTCATCCTCATCAACGGTAACCGTGGCTTCACAGGGCGGGGGGGGGGGGGGTGGTGAGGTGGCAATGGCTGCCTTGGCAGTGTTTGTTGTGATGGTGGTGCCGGTGGCACTGATTGTGGTGGTTGTTCTGCACTACAAACCCGGCGACTCCGATATGGTTGATGACTACACAACCAGTGTCTTCGAAGAATGTCAAAGCCAGCAAGTGTGATGTTTGGGTCTCAAATGAGGTATTTATTCTGAACGTCCACGTTGCTCCACTCTGTTGCCAGCGTTCTTCTGAGTCTGGGCGAGATTCTATGATGGTGACGGCGTGATCCCAGAAGGGGCTTCAGTCAGCAGCAAGAAAACTTTGTTGAGGTCACGTTTGATCGGTAGGGTCGTTGTCATTGGCAAGAAAATGTGTGGTGGCGGAATTATTCGTCAGGATATGGAGCCAGGCGATCGGCGTCAGTTGCAGTGTTTTTGTTACGATGCACATTGTGTTATTCAACAGTGCGTCAAGCAGTATTGCGCACGAGCTCCCCGGACCAGGCTAGAGGGCATTGACTCTGCCACTGAGTGGATCAGTGAGGGGGTGTTTTCGGTTTTGCTAATGACAGTCGGTGACATCTTGTTTGCTCTGAAGTTCAGGGGGATACACTTTATAACCTGGTGAGAGCACGTACTTGGACCCAGTGGCCGGAGTGTTTTGCACACTGAGCTATGACCTCTATTTAATTACTTGATATCGCTCCATCGGCGGCGCGTGATATCTGAATGTGTCCCGGACATGATATCTCCGCTTCGCTATCCGTCGCTGAACATTGTCATGAAGTATAATCAAGGAACCCCGCCCCATGACTGACATGGTGTTAGTTTCAGGTTTTCAGTTTCAGTTTCATTTATTTGGTATAGCCCTATGAGCCATTCGGCTCTTGAATCGGGTGCAACCGCAAAAAACAAAAACATGAACAACAAAACATCTTAAAGTGACTATGCGCAAACAGAAAAATCCAGGAAAAAACAGCAAAAACTTCCAGAAAAGGCACCGTATACCAACGCTGTGTGCAAAAATCCCAGTGGTATGCAAGTCAAACAACAAAAACAACCACAAGACAACTTAGATTAAAGCCATTAGCCTAACTCCGTACTACAAAACAAACAAACATGGCCAAACCAAAAAGGAGACCATCCAGCAGTGGATTACAAAAAGGGGTTTTATTATTATTCAGAGATCATTGAAACCAGAGCTCTATTCTTTTTTCAAGGGAGAACTGTCTCCAAATAAACATGTCTTACCGCAAACGGATTCCAGAGTGGAAACAAAATTCAAAACATGAAAATAAAAAAACAGGAACAATGCAATTAACTAGGAAATGCAGAATTTAGAAACGGCATCCAAAAATATTCAAAACAGACTCAAACACAATACAAAATAAACTGCGTATACAGTATACATTTAAAAACACAGTTAAAAAATAATCGTACTTTTGAGCCCTTTATCAATCCACTGCTGGCTGAAGGCATCTTACATGCAGTGTCGGTCCTGGGCGTCGTTTGACCATACTTCACCACCCTTGTAAAGTGCATGTCGGTGAAGCAAGGTGGGAGGGGTGGCCCAAAACAGATTTAAATATCACTCGCCACTGATGCCAGCGTTGGCCAGGAATAAAACTCATGGCACATTGTGTTCACTACTCTGCGACTGCTCAACTGAACACATTTCCTTTAACAAGTGAAAATACAAATTGAAGAAAATATAATATTGATCTCAGTAGCAGTAGGGATGCTGCCCGTGGTACAAAGGTTCGCACATTGGACTTCAAGAGGTCGCCAATTCCATTCGACCTCCCGGTGTGGGATTTAAAATAATGTGGCAAGTTTCTTAAATTCCCCCCTCCACCATCCCTTTTGCCTCTGTCCACCCGACAATGTAAATGTGTGCACCATGGTCGATCGGCAAGCCGTGTGTGGCCAGGAAGACTGTGGGTATTCCCCACCTCTTGCAAGAGGAAGTGGAGGTCAAAATTCACCACCCTCCCCTCCCCCCCGAGCAGTGGTTCTCAAAGTGCGGTCCTTGGACCACCATCAGTGGTCTGCCACCGTCCTCCAGGTGGTCCGCATGGCTGTGGTGCTTATGCAGCTTGATCCAGACAATAATCACAATGTTTCCATAATAGAGGTCGTTAACCCCGCCGCCACCCGACACAGCCAATTAGTAAGGTTTGTCACGTAAACCCACATCTACAATTCGAGTAATGACAATGTTTTTATTCCTTTTGTTTCGGACATTGATTACGATTTTACTTGTGATATTTATTAAAAAAATAAAGTTTGGTAAACTGCCCTGATTAAACTACCCTAACCCTAAGATCTAAATGCCCCCCCTCCTCCTCCCCCACCTTAATTCTTTTTTTTTTATATTCCGGTAAAATTAATAATTTTATATTCCTTGTATTTAGAGAGAGAAGTGAATGCATTTTGTCACTCGGAGTGGAGCTGGGGGGGGGGGGCTGAGTGGTCCGAAGGGCTACAAAAAGTTTGAGAAACAACTGCCCAAGAGGGACTCTCCCTGGAGCGCTTGCGGAGACTTTTCCGGCCCAGCAGTGGCGTAAACACGCAGTTGCAGCAGGGCGCCTTCGCCTTTCCTATGAACGAAACAAAATTGAAAAGATGTCTATGTTGCTGTCAATAGAGGAGCCCACCTCTGCGCCGCGCCTCTCTCCTCGGGCCCTCGTCACGTCGGACCCGACGCACGGCTCGTTCCGCGTGGCGTGGAAACACCCGGGTGGCGGCGCCGCACCCCTGCGCTACCGTCTGGAGTACGTGCCCAAGAATGGAGGCGATCCGGAACAGGTACTCGCACACAACAAGGATGAAGATCCTCCCCCCCCCCCCCCCCACCCGTGTAACCTTAACAGACGGTTGGGGCAAGCGCTGTGAGCGAGTAGCACTTATGAAGGTTGGAACGAGGGGTTGGGTGTAGCCGGCACCACGCCCGGCAGCCTTTGTCTCCCCGGCGGCAGTGTTTACTACGCACCGCACCAGGTACTCATTTGAGGCTGAGTCGACCCGAAAACGCACCGTAGAACTAAACAGCCAGCACTGCTGCGAAAACCTGTGCAGCAGGGTAACCAGGCATTGGTGTATTTTTTCACACTCTGCAACAAATCCCACCTGTAACAATACAAAAGGAATAATATTACTTTTGGACACGTGCACACTCAGCGTTCGCCATGCACAATAATTAATGACTTCCCAACGCTGAATGCATTGTTAGCACGCGAGAGAGAAGCTTTTGGTTCTGCGGGAATTTTCCATCATCATACTCCGCAACGCGAGCATGAACTGAACGTAGGCGCCTGTCTTGTCGTGGACCGTGCAGAGATTTGCACGCCCACCGATTTTGGCAAATTGCCCTTGCGCTTGTCGGCCGAGCACACATTCGCTCGATCGCAAGTAACTCGCGCGTAATCGATGAAGCGTGCACGGCAATTGTGCGTGGCGATCGTGAGTTACGATTGTGAGTGGCGATCGTGTGTGGAGATCGTGAGCGCTGATCGTGCTCGGCGATCGTGAGTGGTGATCATGAGTGGTGATTGTGAACAGCGATTATGAGTGGTGATCGTGAGCGCTATGATGCAACCCCGATAATCGTCGCATGCGTCATCAAATGCCCCTTTTCCATTGGCAAAACAAGCCACGCTGGTGCCAGTGCTGAGCCAGCTCGAGGCACAGCTCAGGAGGTGGAAATGTTTTTTTTTCCACTGCACAATCCGAGCCGTACTACTGACATCGCGTGACGCTCACGCACACGCACACACGTTGCAGCGCCCCAATGATCTGCTGGATGCCATTTTTTATTAATGTTCTTCAGGTGTCATGACATCACACAAACATTGCACACGTGACTAGTCCCATCCCCAGCCCAGCTTGGCTCCGTAGCATGGCTTAGTTCCGGCGGGCCTTTGCAAAAAGCCAGTGGGAAACCACCTGTGCCGCACCAGCCCCGTGCTGGCGCATTTCGGATGGGTATAAGTTCGTCGTGCGGTTCCCGCCACGCAAGGCAAGCCGGCTTCCCTAGCCGCTTCTGAACGCGCGCGCACCCATGTGCGCACGCACGCAGACATGTGCGCGCAAACACCCCCTGCTTCATCATCTTCAAGGCCAGGGCTGCCGAGGAATGGCATCGTGAGAGCGTGCCATCCTTGGGGAGAGGACATTCCATGAGCTGTCCCGTGGCCGTAAATAATGTCTGGCGCGATTTGAAAAAGCAGCTCCATGTGTACCGTTGTCGTGCGGGTTTAAAAAAAAAAACTTTATAACTCAAATCTTGACTTAAAGCATTCGTGACTGCAGGAGTTAATATTCATTGGGTCTTTCAGTAAAGTCACGTAGATAGGTTCAAAGAAAACCTATCTACGTGACTTTACCGAAAGATAAAAAAATACGTTTCTAACTCACTCCGTAAATTAAAACATACACACACACACGAAAAAAAAACATAATTACCGACGATGAAATATAAGGTGTGTATTTGTAAATGATATCTGTTCAGCCTCATGCAGTTGAATTTTGTAAAGGCATTTAGTGAAGGAAATTAGGGAGGCTGGTTCAGCGGGAGAGGGGATGGTGACTGAACTAACAGCTAATATAAGCACAAATATGCACAAACACCAACATACATGCTTATGAACGCACACACGTATATATACGAAGATGCTCATTCACATTAAGGGTGCCCCCTTTAGACTGGATGGACTGTTGGAGGAAATTGCTGTCAGCGAGCAACAAATGGAGGTGAGGTCAGGGACAAAATCTCCGAGTCAACGCCGTCTCCTCAAGGTTATGTCGTTAAGCCCCCCCGACCTCCCCCCCCGATAGGCTCTCAGCCTACATGGTTTGACTCGGTTCAGGTTTAAATACAGGCAGTCGCCAACTTACGAACCCACGTCCAAACGAGTTTCCATAAGATGTTTATTTTTAACCATTCGACTTGCGAACTGAATTGCGGAACTATTCAGGTCGGAAAATGTGCAAATGTACAATATTTCTTATTATTTATGAGTTTAACAGTGCTTTCCATTTTTGTTGAACCGCAACTTGTTTTATAACACTGACCGTACGTTAATTTAAATACAGTACATTATTGTGCTCCAACTTATGAACCGTTCGACTTATATGAACGGGTCTCAGGAACAGAACCCGTTCGTAAGTCGGTGACTTCTTGTACTGGTTGCCTCGAGTGTACACAGCCAGGCACGGAACTTGATGTACTGGGATCGAACTCAGCATTACTGGGGCGCCGCGGTTTCGATCCCGACCCTGATGCCTGCTGTATATTTGAAGTTTGCATGTTCTCTTTCCCTGTGGTCGTGTGGCTTTTTCTCCGAGTCCCTTTTTTTTCCCTCCACATTTATAAACATACGTTTTGAGTATTTTGCTACTGCTATAAATTTCCACATAACCCACTTCCTTGGGCTATTATTTGCGACCAGGTCGCTTCTGAAAAACATAGCTCAGTGAGCCTTACTTGGTAAAATACAAATTGTTAGTAATTACGACGTGATAAGCACCATCTCCATGTCCACGTCCATGCCCTGGCCTTCTCCCGCACATACCCGTGCATGCACACAAACACGCACATGCAGACAACACAAGTAAACACAGACACGCATGCTCTGGGACCAATCAGCTCCTGTTTGGCACAGTTCATCGTCCAACGCACATTTATAAAAATCGGTGCATGCGTTTTTTTTCCACTCCCATCAATAATAATAAATAGGATGTTTTCTGCCGCGATTGTGCAAGACAGAGGGGTGTGGAATGTTGCTTGATAGTGGAGAACACGACGTGCTGCCGCGTCTGACCATAAAAAGCCCTGTTTTGCAATTGTCTCGTCGGCTTGCCTTTGACAAAGAGCGGTGGGACAGAAAAGGGCGGTAGTGGAGACAGACGCAAACACAACCCTAGGACACCTTTACTTTGTGATATATTATTGTACTTATCATGATTACTGAGCAGAGGTACATCGCCTCATTTTGCCACGTAGTCAGCAATAAAACAGCACTTTTCAAGTTACAATAGATAAAATAGTTAATACGTTTCTTGAATTGAGAAAGGCTATAAAACGATTTGAAGGGAATCCCAAAGTCGAGGAGTGTGCAGAATAGAGTGTTCTCACCTGCAAGTACGGATGAGGTGAAACAGTCCAACTGGTAGTTCGACATCTCAAATTTGGAGGAGGTATTTACAGCAATCTAACTGCTGCGGCGCAATGGTTAGCGGCGCACTGGACTTGCAATGGTGGAGGTTGCCAGTTCGATTCCATCTCCCAGGTGCGGCGGTTGAAACAACGGTGTGAGTTTCTTAAATCATCCCTCCTCACCACCTGTGTCTACCCAGCATTGGTGTAACAGGGCTTCACACTGCAGTTAGCCAAATCTGCAGGTTGCGTGTGGTGAGGAAATGTGTGGGCACTCCCAGCTCTGGCCAGCTTGGAAGCATAGGCCAAATTCCCTCCAGAGGGGCTCTCATTACCACCCTAATGGAGGACCTTGCACCAGTAGCGGCCTGTGGTAAAATACGTGGTGCGCACTGTTGGCTGAGGGCAACCGAGGGCAGGCAGGTGCGCGTGTGCAACGTGAGGTTGCACGAGCAAACCTCCACCTCATTAAGGGAAGAATCAGGTGCAGACGGGGTCGGCCCGGGGTTACACGCTGACACCAGAGGTGTTGCGACAGAGAGACGTGCGATAAGGAGTGATTGATGGCCTGACAGGCGCCAGCCTGTCTAGCCCTAAAGAGACACAAGGGAGGAGCTGGATAATTGGGAGGAGGATATAAGGAGGCGCGTGAAAGCAGAGCGGGAGTTCGGGTTACTGGGACCAAGATGAAGAAATCTTGCCACTGCCGCTCAAGCCAGGGACAGACCTCAACCCTCACGAGTCGCCGCGCGGGTGATGGCTGCTCCCCCCGCCCGGATCGGACGAGCGAGTGGGTCTGAGGGAACGTAGGCGAGGGAAGCGGCGCAGAGTGAGGGAAACTGTGTGCAAGCTCTGTGTGAGCGCTGCTGTGTGCAAGCTCTGTGTGAGCATTGCTGTGTGCAAGCTCTGTGTGAGCGCTGCTGGGTGCAAGCTCTGTGTGAGCGCTGCTGTGTGCAAGCTCTGTGTGAGCGCTGCTGTGTGCAAGCTCTGTGTTAGCGCTGCTGTGTGCAAGCTCTGTGTGAGCATTGCTGTGTGCAAGCTCTGTGTGAGCACTGCTGCTTGCAAGCTCTGTGTGAGTGCTGCTGTGTGCAAGCTCTGTGTGAGCGCTGCTGTGTGCAAGCTCTGTGAGTGAAGCTGTGTTCAAGCTCTGTGTGAGCGCTGCTGTGTGCAAGTTCTGTGTGAGCGCTGCTGTGTGCGAGCTCTGTGTGAGCGCTGCTGTGTGCAAGCCTCTGTGTGAGCGCTGCTGTGTGCAAGCCTCTGTGTGAGCGCTGCTGTGTGCAAGCCTCTGTGAGCGCTACTGTGTGCAAGCCTTTGTGTGAGCGCTACTGTGTGCAAGCCTCTGTGTGAGCGCTGCTGTGTGAAAGCCTCTGTGTGAGCGCTGCTGTGTGCAAGCCTCTGTGTGAGCGCTGCTGTGTGCAAGCCTCTGTGTGGGCGCTGCTGTGTGCAAGTCTCTGTGTGAGCGCTTCTGTGTGCAAACCTCTGTGTGAGCGCTGCTGTGTGCGAGCTCTGTGTGAGCGCTGCTGTGTGCAAGCTCTGTGTGAGCGCTGCTGTGTGCAAGCTCTGTGTGAGCGCTGCTGTGTGCAAGCTCTGTGAACGCTGCTGTGTGCAAGCCTCTGTGTGAGCGCTGCTGTGTGCAAGCTCTGTGTGAGCG